TCCTATAGTAACCAGAATACTATCTTTCCAATTTTATAAGAAATATTTTTAGCACAATCTAACCTTGTCCTACTATTATTGTGGTTCAAGCAGATTGTCTGCAGTTGTCAGCTTTGGAAGCCATATTAACACCGGAAGCTTCCACACTGTCACCTTCTTGTGCGTGAGAAATTAGGAGGGGGGGATTTAGTAGCGGGGATGTAGTTAGACAAAATAGCATTCTTCTTTTCGGTCAAGGTCAAAGCAGTTCTGCATCTGGAGAAGGAGTGGTTGAAGTGGTGTCTCAAGATGGAACGGATAGTGATTGGATCATAGGATGGAATGATAGGTGCAAAGGTTGGATTTGGGGTTTTGATTTACTGAGAAAAAACCTGGAACACTCAGATTTGGGTTTTCCCAGCTGTGCTAATATACCTACTCTAAAAAATGGGAACTTTGACAAAATGCCTATCTCAGAATTTTAATTGGAGTTGGGTTCTTCTGGAACACTGACAGCTGTTACAATATAATCCCAGGTCAGTCAAACTCAGACAAACTTAAAAACAGGTAGTCCTAGACCAGAGATGGCTAACCTTTTTGCCATTGCGTGGCAGGAGAGGGGGGGTGGGTAGGTGCGCGTGCGGTGGGACAGGAAGTGATGTTTTGTGCTCTCTAGGAGTCTCTGGAGGCTGGGGACAGCAAAAAAGTCACTTCCTGCCCCACTGGGAGTTGGGAAATGGGCCGTTTCAGACCTCCGGAGGGCCTCCGAGGGAGTGGGAAAGGCTGTTTTCACCCTTCCCAGATGCATAGAGAGGATCTGGAGCCAGGTGAGAAAGAAAAATGGGCCTCCCCCCTAGGCCTTCTGGAGGCTCCAGTGCCCATGTGTACGCCGGCCAGCTGATTTTCAAGCCTTCTGGGCCCACCGGAAGTTGGGAAAACGACTGTTTCTGGCCTCCGGGAGGGTGTGGAAGGGCGTTTTCTTCCCAGGTTCCTCTGGAGAGTGGAGAGTGAAAAACTCTTCCTGGGGAGAGTGAAAATCGGGCCTACTGGGCCCACCATGCCATTGCGTGCCAAAAACAGGGGTTGCAGGGGGGGTCGCGTGTGCATGCGGGGCGGGTGGGGCGCATTGAATTATGGACAAAACACGCATTGTGACATCAGGACGCCAATACAAAGAGCTGGTATTTGCATTGTGGTATCATATTTGTTTCATCATTCTTTGGTCATAATAATTAAAGTGGATGCCTTTATTTAAGTTGTCTATATCCAGTCATTGTAGTTTGTAAATTATGGTTTGCAGCATAGCATATGAATTTATGTAACATAATGAGCTGTAATTGACTAGGTGAGAAACCAAAAGGCTAAGAACACCCAATATGCTAAATAAGACTAAATAAACCTTTCAAACTAGTCCCCACGTCTAGCCTTCTGTTGTTTTCTTGTGTGCCAGATACCAGAGCACGGAAAGCCCTGGGCTCCAGCTGGTGTTTCTAAATGTCAGATCTGCCAATAATAAAGCTTTCTTCATTCACAATTTGAGTAAGAGCAAGAGGCAAAGCTGGCACATACAATCTAGGTGGCAAAGGAATATCACCTTATATGGAGATGTGCTGATTTGGATTTTAAGTTTTGCATTAGAATGACTCCAAAGCAGGAAACTCTGCAAGTTGTCAATGATACTGGCTGTGAGGCCTTATTTGTGAGGTTCCGTTTTTATGGTGAAATAAGTTGTCAGCCTCAAATGCTGACAGGCAATAACTCAGGTAGACCCAAGCACACAATGGGCATGAGTAGTTGAGGGCAGACTTAGATAGTGTTGGAAGAAATATCCATCTGGTTCAGTTCCAAGCTGGGAGAAAGATGCTGGAAATAAAATGGAGGCTGGAGGCTGATTGGAAAGAAGATCCATTTATTGATGAACAGAACCACCCACAAAGACAGTGTGCAGTTCTGGGTCAGCTGAACAAATGGTTGAATGAATGGATGGATCTTTATAGTTTCTGTAACTTTGAAGTTTGGAATTTGTGCAATAGGGACTTTGCGTTTCTAAAAGGGGGTTAAGCAATTCCTATTGTGGCTAATGGCTTTTGTCCTGTGTCGGATCTTGGGTGAGGGGCTGCTTGTTCTAATCCTATCGTTTTGCTTTTGTTAGCTGTCAAACTTTGCTGCAAGGAGTTTTAAAATATCCTGTCTTGAATGGATTTCTGCCTGCAGTATTTGCTTTGCTTACGAATGGAGCCAACTAGATAGTTGGCTACAGGAATGGGTTCTACTTACCTTTACTACCAGTTTGCAATGAGATTGCGCTTGCGCACGCACCTTGCTTCTGCACATGCATCTTGTCTTCCCTGGGTTTCTTCTGAAGTATATATGCAACTGCACTCTGTTTGCTTTTTTAGTTGTTTGAAGCTCAAAACTGCAAAATCAAACTAGTTGCAACTTGGATTAGTGTGACTGTTCAGTCTAGGAAAGAATAAAAGCTGGGGTTGCTGTTGCTGTACTAGTTTCCCTGTTGCACAATGGTATCACTATCCAAACTCAAATGGAAGTCTTCCCTTAGCCATGAAAGCCAGCGGGATGACTTTGGGCCAGTCACTGTTTTTTAGCCCAACTCATCTCATAGGATTGTTACTGTGAGCAAAATAGGAAGATGGATATATTTGCCACCTTGAGTTATGAAGAAATAATAAAGGTGAGATTAAAATAAAATAAAGTAAACTGCTGGGCCTCATTGGAAAGGTGATGTTGGGTGACCCAGTCTTTTGTTGCTTAGGGGGTTCAACTTATCTTTCCTAGGAAGAGAAAATCTCATTTTCTTGGCTACTGGGAATTTAAGTGATTACAGGGGATTATCCCTCAGTCCTGCCTTGGAGCAGTCAAGATGTAATCTGAAAGTGGAGGTCATTAACATCAGTTCTTTTTTTCATGGTTAGATCACTGTTTTTGTAGAATTTTCAGTTTTTGTAGAATTTTCTTATGCACGGAGGAGAGACCTATTCAATCAATCCATCCCAGGGATTTAATGGGTTAAAAGAATTTCCAAAGGGAAATTCCTGGAGTCTTTAAGAGTGATTCCGTAGAGTGCTTAGTTGACCCCTGGAATAAATGATTCACAATAGCTCCTTAGAAGATTGTTCCTGAACAATCTCTCCCTGTTTGCTGATTTTCAGTAAACCAAGAGGCAAAAGAGTGTTTTGGAATTATAGAATTGGAAGAGATCTTAAATGTCATTGGGTCTGATGCTCTTAATTAATGAAGGTTTTACTTGATTATCTTTTAACAAATGACCATCCACCTGTTTGAAAAGCTCTAGCAAAGGAGAACTCAATCCACTATTGGACAGCTCATATTATAGGAAGCACTTCCTAATACCTAGCATATAGTTTTAACATCACCGGTTTGGATATTTTCTTTCTTCTGTGTAACACCTACAGATATTTAAATCTGCTATTGTATCTGCCCTTGATCATTTTCCCCTGAAAGCTAAACATAATAGGTTCTTTTAACTGTTCCTCATAGGGCTTGATTTCCAGGCCCTTCACCAACTTGATAAATCTCCTTTGAACCTCTCTTGCTCCAATTTGTCACTAGTTTTGAATTGATGCTTAGAATACAAAAGGGGTCTGACCTGGCCAACATAAAATGGAATGATGACTTCTGGTGATCTGGACACTCAGCTTATATTAATGTACTCCAAGATAGTAAATTCTCTTTTATTAGCTACATTACACTACTGTTTATCTAACAAGGTTGCCCAGATGCCTTTTGTGAACTGCTGCAAAGCTTGGCTCCCTCAAGATTTACTTACTTATACACTTTGTAAGCAACCCAAACCCCCATGGAATGCCTTTAAAATTAAAAAGTCAAAAAACAAATCACGAATGACTAAAAAAAAAATCATGTAACTCCACCACCACTTGTCCAGCAGGGGCCCAACCTTCATCCTGCCCCAAAGCTTTCACTAGCTTCCTGAACATCATCAGTTTGAGCCATCCAAATCTCTAGGGAGTATCATTCCAGACAGCAGGCACCGTGACAGAGAAAACATGCTTTTTGGGTCCCTCAAGATAACGTTGATTCAATATTTGTTCCTATTTATTTCATCCCACTAGACACCTACTACATACAGTAATGGTATCTTAGAATTTACAATACCGTATGATTTGATCTTCTTAATCCAATGTTTATTTCTAAGTCGCTCATTGCTCCTGTTGCTCATTCTAAATGCATTTAGCTAGTTTGTAGTCATTTGCCAGGATGCCAACGTATTTCACCTAAATTAAAGCTATTGTTAATTACTGTGATTTGCGGGAAATATATTATTTCAACATCAGTAAAAGATGATTCAAGGCCTTCTCATACTGGGGCTGAGATGAAGGCAAAGCAACAGGGACACAGAATAGAAATATTGCCAAGGGATATTGGCATTTTCTTTCCTAACAGCTTTAGTGTTCCTACTCAGCATTCACTTATTTAATCATTTCAAAACAGTTGATGAACGAGTTATAAAAAAAATATCTATCATTATAGACTTTCTCAGATCTCTGAACAGGTGGAAACTATTTCTGAACGTTTGCCTAAAATTCGATAGAAGTTCAGCAATCTTGCCATTTTGAAATGAGTGGAATTTTCTGCCCAATGGCAATTACAATCTCCCCGTTATCTTCAGGAAATAGTTTATTCTATCGCAGTAAGGGGCCTTTATATCGCCCCAAAACGATAGTTATTTAGAGATGGAAACTCATGCTAATCTTTTGTAAGATAAGCAGGAGAGTCAAGAGAATTCCTTCTCCAGGAACCAGGAGCATAAAATCTCCGGAGCGGTCCGACCCACGCGCTTGCACAAGGGAGCACCGCCAAAGGCGCACGCGCAGAATGAGATGTCGAAGACTTGCGAGGAGCGGGGTGGGGTGGGGGAGGTGAGATTACAGAGGCTGAGTATAAGAGCGGGGTTTTTTGGAGCGCTTCCGGTCCGAGCTCTTTGCATCCGGGGTAAACCAAAGCCTCAGCCATAGAGATGGTCCCGTTTAAGGAATTTCCGGTTTACTTCCGGAGAATCCTACCTGCCTTTCTCTTTCTCTCCAGAAAGGAGGGGAAGAAAACAGAATAGGCGGCTGGCCTCGGAAAGCGGGTGGGCCTCGACCCCTCAGCCGCTCCTGAATTCTACGCCCTCGTCGGAGTAAGTTAAAACAACCTTCGCGCAGGTTGTAGCCCGGAGCGGACGAGATGAAGAGAGCACTTCTTGGGCTTCTTTTTGACCAAGCGGGAATCCTGCTGGGTCTCCCTTTTCAAGCGAGCGGACTGTTGGGCCTGGAGGGCTTTTGAGAGAAAAGGCAAGAGAGCTTGTTTCTGAGCCGTTGGTTAGGATGTCCTAGGGCCCCTGCCAAGGCGAGTAACTTTCGGCGGGGCATCTGGGAAGAGAGAAATCTGCAGCAAACCGGCCTCAGAAGCGGAAATCTTCACGTGGGTCGGGGGGTTATGATGCAGTTCTTGGTGCCCTACGCCGTTTATTGTTATTATTACAAATAACACGTCAATGGATGGTGGTTTGGGTATAAAAAGATACTTTCCTTTCAATGACAGTATCTTATACATAGGTTTACGTCGTCTTTACAGTTTGGCAATTGCTTCTAAATTGTCTTAAAAAAGGATGGGAGTGTATTTCGAACCTCACCTGAAGAAACTCTTTCTAACTTTGCAGACTGATTTTTTAATCCAAGAAAGATTGGAAAGTGAAGGCGAATGCTTTGCCAAGCCAATAATTGGAAACTCCTGAAAGTTGGGTGTGCTGCATCTTTGATGGATTAGTGCAAAAAAAAAGGGTATCTATTGGCTTCTCCTGCATTTTTGGTTGGTTTTATTGAGGAGGGTGTCTCATTGTATGGGTATATTGTGTATACACGTACAATGACAATAAAATAATAATAATAATAATTATTATTATTATTATTAACCAGAAGATTTGGTTCTTCTGGATGTTGATGGAAATCTATAAGAAAATATAAGCAATTTTTAACTAAGAAAAATTTAAAAACTACTGTTGATATATCCTGACAGTAAGTGTCCTAAAAGGAAATCAAAGTGATTTAGGAAAAATAATTTACATTAATGGTATCTGGTAAGGAAGATGTTTTTAGTTTGATTTTATAATTTTAGTGTATTTGTTTTTACCTCTATTGTACTCAACTGCATAAGAAGGTTTTATTCTTGTGTACTTTTTCATAGTTCATCTATCAGTTTGTCAAATTTGACTTTAAAGTTTTCTGAATGGTTAACTATAAAGAAATTCATAGCAAATTCAATAATTTCAGTATGTTGTGTAATTAAATATTTCTTTTTGTCTGACAATTATTTGATAAACTTCAAATGCACCCCTTCTCTAATCCATTATCCATCAAACTAAGAAACTTCAGGGGATTTCAGTTCCTGTAATTCCCTAAAAGTGTGACTGTTTGTTATGCTAATCTGGGATTATGGAAACTGAAGTCAAAACATCTTGAAAACACCAGGTTAGGTAAGTGTTTTTACACTATATACAAATATATAAATCTCATCACATTTCCTTTGCCATTTTTAAACCTACGAAATAAGTGATGTTCCTGAAAAATTGCTGCAGCCCCTTGATAATTTTGATAATTTTGAGATGCTATGGTCAGAAATATATTGGAAGTCATTTTTAATCTTTCTTGTGCTAGCAAATTACCAAACTAATGGCCTTAATGTCCATTATCTTAGAATATGCTTTATTGAAGATGAATCAAATGAAAACAGTTACCAAAGGGAAGCATTGCTTCATTTAGCCATTTGTGTATTATGAGTGGTGTACCGTGAGTGGCTCAGCAAGCATGCAAATGTAAATTATTTGCAAAGCTGTTAGCAGTACAAGTTCAACAAAAAGTAGTGAAAATAAATGCATATCTTCATTTCCCTCATCATGGTAGAAATTATAATCAGCTATTAAAGGTTCAAGGATATTAGATCAGTGACATATAGCATATGGCCATCTTGTTTTACACCTGGTATCCCTGCTAGTGGCCATGCTAGCTTGGGCTGTTGGGAGTTGTATCTCAGAACAAGACAGATCCACAAAGGCAATCCTGTTAATGGTTCTTCAATGCAATGCTGAAATTGCCAGACTCCTGGAAGACAAATAATAGGAGAGACTCTTGCTTCTCTGCCACATTTGAGTTTTTGTGAGCATTAAGATATATACAGGTAGTCAGTCCTTGACTTAAAGTTATTAGTTGAACAAAGTTATTTTGACACTGAAAGAAGTGACTTATGGCTGGTCGCAGCATCTCCATAGTCACGTATTTGATGATTGTTGCAGCATTCCCATAGTCACGTAATCAAATGATTGTCACAGCATCCCCATGGTCACATAATTAAAATTTGGCAACTAGCATGTATTTACAATGGTTGCAGCATCCTTGGGTCATGTGATTGCCATTTGTGACCTTTCCCAGTTGGCTTCCGATAACAAAGTGGGGGGAGCTGAATTTGCTTAGTAACAGAAATCCTGGTCCCAATTGTGGTCCTAAATTGAAGATTACCTGTAGTCTATTAAAAGAAAGTTCTGGGCTACATATACGAACTCTCTTCAATGCAGTATGTTTTAACTGTTTGATTTATTGTTTTTCATTTTTTGGTAGTTGCCCTGAGCTACACAGTAAATGGACAGCGATATAAATTGAGCAATATCAATTTCCTTACAGATTTCTTTTGTATTCAATGCAGATTTGTGTGTGTGTGTGTGTCTGTGTTTGTGTTACATGCATGTGCTAGAGAACAGAATGGAAATATATTTAAAATCTTGCTTGGTCATATTGGTTACCATATATGCCATTTTCTCAATTCCTAAGTAGTTTAATAAAGCTTCTGGTGTGTATTTTGTAATCAATTAGAGACCAATATAGTTGCAACTCTGTAAAATAGTCTCTTTCTATTTTTGGTATTATTATTCTGAACATCGATGAAAAATAGAATGGAATAGTGGAAATACAGCTTATTGAAGGGATTGTGTATAAACTGCAATAAAGGGATCTGCCTTGACTGCATACAAATATTATAATACAAAAAGTATTTCAATATTAATACAGCTATTATAAAATATAATACAATATTATATATAGGTATAATTATATAAAACAATATTATAATGCCAAACATATTAATAGAAGTATTAATGCAAAAAATGGTAAATAATATGTGCACTTTTCTTGGTAAATATTAATGTAAATATTTTGAGAATATATTTGTCAAAAATCATATCAGTTTATAGTAATTGTGAATAGGTTTTTTTTTTTTACTTCAGTTTCATTTAAAATTTATATAGGTAGAAGAATACATGTTCATTTATAGCACAGAAGAGCATGTTCCCAAATTCTTCCACTTTGAGTCGTCCACCTTTTCCACTAGAACACCAACGATATAATCTCTTCGTTAATCTTCCAGTGAACGTACCTCCAGTTGTCTTTCATCAGCCACTTCAGAGAGCAACGTAAGTTTGGCATCATTTTAATATGAAGTTTATCAGACGTACATTTTCAGAACAAATCATGTGGGGTAGCAAATCTTGAAATGTTGAAAATGCAAATCATTATAGAGAAGTAGTCTTATATGTGTGTATATGTGTGTATATGTATTATAAAACTGCATTATGAGGCAAAGTTGTGTAATCAGTTTAAAGGTTGTGATTCTTTTATAAAATAGTTAATATTTGTAATTCTAGGGTAGATACTGATGTGTTTTATAAAAGAATCACAAACTGTTAATTATTCAAATAACAGTTTCATTGAGTGTATGTGTATAAATAATGTCTGTCTGTTTGGAAGGCATTTTAGAAGTAGAGAAATCTGGTCGTAAGTCACTAGGGTTGTGAATCGAGGTATCCACGTGACCGGAAGTGATTTTATGATCTTTTTTTGCAATGGCCATTAAGTGAACATTGCAGTTGTAAGTGCAAATATTTTTAAATGGGTATTTTTTGCAGGCAAAAAACATTGTGAATCGTGGTCACATGACTATGCAATGCCATGATAGGTCATAAAGTGAGTAGTTGCCAAGTGCCACACTTGCAGTCATGTGGCCATGTGGGGTGATGGTTGCGTGGCCATAATCAACAGCAGGGAGTTCTTCATGGGCTGTAAAGCACCTGTTTTCTGGCCACTGTAAATGTGAATGATCAATAAGCAACTGGTCATAAGCTGAGGGCTACCTATAATGGAAAAAGAAAAGGAAAAAGGAAAAGAACAAGAACAAGAAAAAAATATAAAAGCATGAAATAAATGGACCAGAGATTTAGAAGCATAATAAAATTAAGTAAATTAAAACAAATTTTCAGAGCAACTTTAATATAGTTCTGGTTTTAAGACCTTGGTAAGTTTCATAAGCAGTAATATTGCCCTTTAATATCCTTAGAACTCTTGTGAATGGTACTCTTTCAACCATCCCTCCTATTTCACCACCACGCTTTGCCTGCCAAAATGATAATCCATCGCATGGATCACCTACACCTATGTTATTCCGGCGCAGAAAGTAAGTAAGATATATAAACGTGACAGGAAGAATTATTTTATTATATTTATAGAAGCTGTGGAACCAATGGCTTGTTCTGTACTTGCTTTTAACCTACATTTTTGTATTTGTATTGTTTGTATAGATCCCATTTGGAAATCAAATCGGCAACTTAATGTCTGAAAATGTGCTGCGCAGTGATGAGTTTGACAATTTTAGTTTCCAGTTTAGATTAATGATAGCAGGTGTCATATGAAATGAACAAATAATTAATATTGCCTAGTAAGTTTGAAACTAGCAGGTATCGTAAGATGAGCCACACATTTCACATTTCATGTGACACTATATTAAAGATAAACAACCTGAAGCTCCAGAGTTTTCACCATCTCCAATGATTGGAGGCAACCCATTCCAATCTCTTTCCAAAAATTCCCACTAAATTATAAATTTTAATACAGTAAAAGGGAAACATCAAATATTAGATACTTTGAAATGAAAACAAATTTATTTCTAGCTTTGTTCTGGTCCAGTCCTAAATTTTAAAATGTTTGAATACAAGTAGCAATGGAAATTTTCGGAATTCTCCAGTACTGAGCTAAAAAGAGTTCAGAAAAAAGTTTAGAAAGATTTAGAGGCTCAGTGCATACTGGGACTTAGACGTGATATTACTGGACTAGATCCAGCATGAATGGAGTTTTATTCAGAATGATTCTGCTATGAGAATTTTTTTCTTCTCCTATATTCCTTAGAACTTTCATCCTCACAATGATATTCAAGGAACATAAGGAATCTGAGTTAGTTGCAGGGAAGACTGGTGGTAAATTGATTAAATGTTCTTCCATTTCATTTGTGAGAAAGTTTCAATGGCTCAGAAGCTATTTCCACACAGAAAGTCCTTCCATTTTTAGAAAAACAAACACTAATTCCAAGTCTGCTTTATTTTAACTTGGTGATTACCTCACTGGATAATGGAGGTCTCTCATATTCAAAGTTTGGAGATTTTCACATTGGTATATGCCTCCATCTGTAATAGGGTTTATTTTTTAAATGGCTATATATGTATGGCTTGCTTTGTACTTCTTGTCTTTCTACTAACAATATCAAAAATGTCAGGAAAAGAGTATCAGTTTCCCAGAACCACAAGTCAAAAGTGGTTCATCACTTAATGTGCTGTGGGAAATGAAATACATAAGCCAAACTGTATCCGAGGAATCCGTATGTGCGTGTGTTTTTAAAAATGCATTAGTGAGCTAATAGTAAGCTTCAAATTATAATACTTGCATGATCAGCCTATATTTTTGAGTAATTTGGATTGGTAATTTGTAATAGCCAATGGAAATATTTAGAACATAACGCATATTAAAATGCAGTTTGTATCTGAAGTATCTGTATCTGATACTTTAATCAAAAGAAAAGAAAACTTTGGCTTAGACTATCAACTTGTATTCAAAATGTAGCTAATTGAAATAAATGTTTTTCTTGTATAAGCACGGATAGAATTAATGCAGTGTTTAAAAAGTATCTTTATGCTTCTCAAATGTTTGTGCTTTATCTGTTACATTATCAACTACATGTACATGGCATTCAGCTTATTAAGTAACTGAATGATTTGATTATTACAACAGTGAGATATCCAGAATATTTTTTTCCAAGGATTTGTTTTGTTTTTAATTGGCCATTTGAATGGCAAGAAAGCCAAATGCCTGAAAATTCACTTGGCTGCATATCTGTTCTCCTTTGCTTGTATCAGGGATTGTAGAGCACTAGCATTTTTATCCACTACTAAATAGATATGGTCCATAATATTCTTGCTCTGAAGTTTCACAAAGGATCACCTTAAATTACTGATTATCTATTTTCAGGGGAGTATTCCTTTTATGTAACATTGGTGCATTTTCACTTTTTCTGATAAGTAATCCTTGTAATCTCACTAGAGGCCTAATGATTATTATGATTTGTTTGTGGGCTACTGCTTTGTCTCCCAGAGTCACATCAAATAAGTCGTTGTCAAAGCTTTTTTCAAAGAGAAGCACCCACTGAAATCTTTTTTATGGGCATAAAATTTATCTTGTCTGCAGTGACTGCTGCCTTGATTAAAAAATAATGGCAAGATATCCTGTATGAGTGGCAGGAACTTTTGTCAGTATTTCAGTAATTGAAAGTGTGTGAATCTTTATTTTCAGATCACAGCATTCATAATTAACAACATACTTGATTAGTATTAAACAAGTGTGTTGTTTATTATGAACATTGTAGTCTAAAAATAATCATATCAAGCTTACTGAGGCTGCTGAAAGCAAGATGTTTTGTAATACACAATTGTTGCTTTCATATATAAATATTGTATATATGAAATAGAGGTTCTTTTTTGCCCAGATCAAACATTTTACTGTCTGTACAATCTAAACCTACACAGACACTTTCTACATTTTGAATGGCTGTTGTGGTAAGTTTTTCCATCTCTTCTATCTTTCTTATCACCCTTATCACTGGGTACACGTTGGACACAACTTCTCACTAAAGTGCACTTTGTAAGATGTGAACTTATTCTTTTGGATAGGGAGTATTTCAAAAACATTATGGTTTGTGTAAGATTGTCTTCATCGGATTAAACTTTCAGTAACAAAACTTGTATTTAGCACCTTTTCATGGGGCACAATTGGGTTCCCTGTTTAAAAGAATTTGGCACATCCTTATAAAGCATAATGCACAGTTTTGGAATATTCACGTTAATCAGAAGTATCTACAATTGAGGTTTTGTTGCATATTTTAAGTGGAAAACTGGAATAATCAAATCTTTTATGTTTTTAGGAGGTTGAAAGAAGAGGATGTTCCTTACGAAGTAAAGCGTCAGCGATTTCATTCACCTCATCGTGAATTAACTTCCGCTAACCAATTAGTGCCTTTAATAGAAGATCATAGATATTCATTCCCTGGATCAATTTCTTCGCCATTATTTCAAGCACATTACATCTCAGATTTAACAGGATGTGTGCCACCTTTACAAGAACCTTCCTTTAATAATGCTATAGAAGCTACACTTCCTGTAGCCAAAGATAAGGTAAGATTGAAAAGAATATTGTTATAATATGACAAAATAAGTGTTATAAGCTCAAAGTCTCCGGTTGGCTTAATGCACTTCTTACAATTATGAATCCGTTTATAGAAACTCCACATTCCTGGAGTTTCTACAGATGTAGAAGAGAAAATGCAGATAAAGATTCGACATTTTCTTTAAATTGGAAATGTTAAAATAAAAAATAAAAAAAATCACACCACCTTTCTAGAGAAGTCTTTTTGTCACTGCCTCCAATCCTAATCAAAGTGAGTGGAAGGAGGCTGTGTTTCGTGCTGCATTAATCTTGTCGTCTTGGCTAAGGATTATTATAGTAGCAAAGATTTTCTACTGCTTATTGCTGTATAGCAACTATTTTAAAGGTAAATCTACCAGGTTATCCAAAATCAGTATTCAGTTACTGTAGAATAAACCCCAATTTGTTTTTGATTGTCTTCAACTTCCAAGAATAAATGTTTCTTGGTCTTGTGATTGATGTGCTGCTTAACTTCCTAGACCTGAAATAATTAATCTTTCTCATTAGGATCTAGATAATTTGTTATTTGCAAGGCAGATCTAGTATGAACCAGATAAAGAGCAATGTAGGATTGATGACTTTTTATCCTAAAAAAGTTGTCTACGTTCAATAAGACTTAAAAGACTGGATTAATTAAAGAACCAAGGTGGCACAGTGGTTAGAGTGCAACACTGCAAGCTACTTCAGCTGACTGCTAGCTACAGTTTGGCAGTTCAAATCTCACCGGCACAAGGTTGACTCAGCCTTCCATCCTTCTGAGGTTGGTAAAATGAGGACCCAGATTGTTGGGGGCAATATGCTAACTCTGTAAACTGTTTAGAGAGGGCTGTAAAAAGCACTATGAAGTGATATATAAGTCTAAGTGTTGTTGCTATTGCTAGTAATATTTATACATTAAATGTAAGTTTTGTTTTTTTATACATAAAGTTAAGTCAGCAAGTTCTGGAGTTATTTCAAGCATGTCAACAACAAACCTATGACTTGAACAAAAAAGAGCTTTGCCGTACTCAGCTCCAAAGGGAAATTCAGCAGATCTTTCCAAGTATGTTGCAATTCTGTATTTTTATTATTCAATAATTAAACTTTTGGTATTTGAGTTCTTTCAAAGAAGAACATAATTTTAAAATTATTTTTGCCTTGCAGATAGTAGGCTCTTTTTGGTTGGATCTTCACTGAATGGATTTGGTACTCGTAGCAGTGATGGTGATTTGTGCCTAGTGGTTAAAGAGGAGCCAGTAAGTACAGGAAAAAAAGTAAATATAAATATCCATATTTTTTTAAGAGAGAGTACTGAAAGGGAGATAAATATAGAAGAACAAGTAAAACTAGTTTCTAAAAAATCAAATTTATCAATAAGGTGTAAGTTGAGCTTGTGTACAGTATTCATTGAAAATAGCTATTCATTCAAATGAGTATTCTAATGATTTCCAAGTAACATTTCGGGCAAGAAAATAGAAAAATAAAAGCAGTGTTAATATAGTATAATACGATGTAATATATTACCCTATCTCTGTTGGATATACAATATAAGAATTCTTCATAGCCATGCTTGCATGATTTGTATAAATTTTCTTGTTTACATTAAGGAAATACTTTTCCAGCTAAGAAAAATAGAGACCTGCTTTACTGCAGCCACAACTTTTTTAAGATCACAAGAAGGACACATTCTGCATGCTGTTTTTTCTGTAACAAAAATAAGACAATTAGTGGGGTGAGCTCTGCAATTTTAAAGAAGCTGTGTCCTTGCAAAAATGGAAAATAAAACCCCACCAGATAATTTGAAAGAAATCACTTCAAGTTAAAAGGGTGGTTTGGTGCATTACATGCTACATTAGTTTTAATAACATTTTTAGAAGGCATTCACATTAGTAGTAAAAGCCACTAATAAGTGACTTTTGAAACAATAATTATGCAAATACACATCATATAGAGGGTTCAGTTTATATACTAAGAAATACTGCCTAAAACTATGGGTTCTGATTTAATTCCATTTGTCTGTTTTGTTGTTTGGATTTTTGAAATAGTGTGTGAGTGTGACAAATAGCTTGAAGCAAATTTGGGAGGGGGACTATGAAATACCACTTAAATGATTTATATAGTCATTAGACTTATTTTTAGGGAGACATGGATACTATTATTAACAAAAGGAAATGCTTGGATAGTTGTAAAAGAGATTAAGAAGAATTGAGCCCTATTCTCTGTTTGATCCAAACTATTGATCCAAACAATTGTTATATAATTCCAATACAATAGAATGTGGCAAAAATTACCTTTCTTTAATGACCCTCTTTTACAAGCTCCTACATTTTGATAAATGAAATTATTGTGTGTGTCCATGTGTGTTTTAAACTCTGTCTAACACTGTCTGGAATTCTAAATGTATTGATTGCCCATCATTCTAAATTTCCTTGGGACTTTACATGATAGAAGAAAAACCCCTGGTATAGTGGTTGAGCTTCAGCACATGGGCTGCTCTAAGAGTTGGACCTCAGAGCTTGTTCCTGCTATCCTATAATGAACAAGGTGCTTTCATCTTCTGGGTTTACTCCTTTCTTTCTCACTTCATGCACTCATTTGGTGAAATGTTTCCACTTGAAGATTCAGAGTGTTCTACCGTATACATGTCCAAATACCTCCATCTTCAAACATTATTAAGCATCATTACAACATTAATGACTAATTTATTTCAGATGAATCAGAAGACTGAAGCAAGACACATACTCAGCGTACTCCAAAAACACTTCTGTAGGAAGCTTTGTAAGTTCTAGACTATGTTTAGTGAAATAAATATTGTTAATTTGTTTATGGTCTTTTAGTAAATGAAATTGCAAGCTAAAACAAAATTTTAAACTCTGCACATTTCAGATATAATCCCAAAGAAGTATTTTGGACCTTGCATAAATAAGATCATCACTTTTTTTCTGTTTATTAAAGCAGACGATCTCTTTTTTATGTCAGTTCGAGAGAGAAGGTGATGCTGTCTTAATGAATTTAATTATTAAAGCAACATATATTTATACAGACTGTTAAGGCAGAATCTTGTACAAAATCATGTTTGTATGAATAGCAGTGATGCACTGAGCTCTCACAAAGTTATTTGTGAGGGAAATGGACAGTTTCTAAATTAGAAAGATGGATGGATGGTGGATGGATTGCCTGAAGCACTTCTGAATAATTTTCAAAACAAGCAATCCAATTTGCTGTATTTATCGATATTTCTGTGCTGCTTCAATCATACATTCTTTGATAATAAAAAACATACAATTATAGAAATTACAATAAAGATTAAGTTAAGAATCTCGTAGTCAGTAAAATACAATAGCAGCAACCCACAATACCTAAAGATACAAACACCTAGCAACATAATGCAGTATAATTTCAAGTTTCCTCTTGAAAGTCAGTCATGGAAAATATGTGGTCGCTAAGATTCAATGATTTGCTGGCACATAATCCAAGCAGAAAGGGGGTCATCCATTCATAAAGAAAATCTCTACAAATTGAATAAAAACCCTTCCAGAAATGATGCAGTAATGCCTAAGAAGTTCTATGCAATAAAATCACTAGTTAAATTTTATCTATTTATTTAATTACATCTGAGCAACATGAAACTGTATAGGAAATATGTTCTGATAAATTTCCTGCGGCAAAATAGCATTTATATTGGACGTTACAAGAGCGTTTCATTTTCTTTACAGCAAGTTACATTGAGAGACCTCAACTGATCCGAGCAAAAGTGCCAATAGTAAAGTTCAGGGATAAAGTCAGGCAAGTAACTGCAATTACCATTATTTTTTCATATATTTATTTAGACAGGGTGGGCTTACTAGTATGGGACATGTTTCTTAGAGTTTTCTTATCAATCTGCCATTTGTTTTTTCATTGGTATAGTAATGGTGTCAATCAGTTGCAAACGTTATAGTGAATTCCATTATTTCAGTGAAGTTTAAAGATTCTTTTTTTCTGATATTTTGTCTCTGTGCATGCTTTTATTAGTAGAGAAGTGGTTGATGTTTCAATGGCTGATCCAGTCCAAACAATAAATCTAGTTCCATTTACTGTTTTAATAGAATTCAAAAGAAAAAATGGGGAACTTGTGGCCTTCCACATACTACTAACTCCCACTAGCCCAGTATCATGCCCAGAAATACACTCCAAATAGTGAGAGCAGATTAGAGAGTGGAACTATGTAGCAAGAAAGCTTTATGATGATGGATGTGTTTAGGGTGTGTCATTTAATGGGGTGAAAATTAATTTTTGCAATTTTTTTCAGTTAGGAATTCTAAAAATATGTGTTTTTACATCAAGAATTCCAATCTATTATTTTTGCAATTGCACAATGTTTAGCTTGGTATGGTAAATCCATGTCTGATCATATACCCTACAAAAGTCTCTTGTAACTCAAATACTGTTATTTTTATCTTCTCAAAATTACACTTTGTGTTACAAAAATTAGTTTTTTTCTGCATGAATCTTATCTAGCTAAAGAAAAAAATAATCCATGCAATCATAAATTTAACATCAGAAAGCAATTATCTGTAATTATATGAATTACAAAAATGTTTAAGCAAGTTTCATCAAGTCTTGTTCTTAGACATCAGCCACCAACTTGCTTCTTGGCCTCTGATATAACCCTCACGTTTCTCATGTGTATACACGCTGCTTGCTGCCTCTCTAACCTGTTTCATACATCCCTCTTTTGATTGGGCATGACAGAGCCACTGTGGTACTTGCATTGGTTTGTCAATGAACTTCTTTATTTCCACTACAGTCTGTTTACACGTCAAGGGTGGCTCATATACACCTTCAGACCAGTCAATCAGCTCCAACAGAGTGGATGCTCTGGCAGTGATTAAAGGCGTTTTTTTTGCACATACATAAAAATCTCCTAGCACTTCATTGTCTGCACCCCTCAAATCAATGATCTTTTGCACCCCAGCTCTCCTCTCTTGAATGTCATCTGAACACAAGAGTGTCTGGATTATCATTTCACTGAAAGCGTATCATGCTGAGTGCTGAATGGTTGGCAAAACAGCATATACTACAGCCTTCTTTTGCAATCTGACTTGCTGCAGCTAGAACAACACATGACTGGCCTTCAATCCAGGAATGTTTTACTTTGATGTTGAACCAGCAAGGGTAGTACGCACTAATGATGTATTCCACTATCATTCTTAAGTTTTGGAGAGTTTGCCTTTAAAGCCATGTTTTGAAGCCCATATTCAACAAAGCCTATTTGCAGTTGTCAACCAGCATGAGTGGTTTATGGGGCCAAATTCCAGAAGAGCCAGATCTGTGGGAAGTTCTCCTGTCCTTATTGCCTGTGATCCTACATCCATATGCTTAATCAGTAGAGAGATCCTTTCATCACTGTTGTTCAGTGAAATGAGAGCCTCACCAATTAAAACTGGTGAATGAAAGATCAGTGTCAAGTTCTGTTGCAGTGTCTAGCATATTGCCAATTTTACCTGCCCATTTGTTGTTAGACAAGGTCTTCTCATACAATTTTGTAATTAAATGTCATAGGGGTAACTCATTTGTGTGGAGTGCACACATCAACCAGATCAACATCCGGTCACGGTCTACTCAGTGCATGACACCACCTTTACAGCCAGTATTAACATTTGTAGAATCTCCTCCAATGGTTTCAAGCTTTTGTCAATGCCTTTCTTCTTCATAAAATACACCAGATTATCTGTAGTTGCTTGAGCAGGTTTTCCTGTTTTTGAGCCTTTTTTTGGAGTGAAATGATAAAGATATCTTCCACCCAGCTCTCTGCACACAGAATAATGTTCTTCTTTGATGGTACTGGGGAATTGCTGGTCTGAATTGTTTGCTTTCAGCATAACTTTAGTTACATCTATACAGCTGTTGAAGAAGATGCTTTCTATTTCGCCCTTCTTACAGAGTTCATCAAATTCTTGATCTAGGAACTTCATAATTTTTTCCTGGGCTCTCTTGACTTTATTGTGGTCAACTATAAGTCTTTTGTCATCTTTGGGTGATCAAGCCAGCATCTATGAAGGTGGCTGTGGTAATGGCAGCAGTGCCACATAGACCAACTCTGTATCTTATGCTCTCCATATTGACATATGTTATTTTAATCTATTATATTCTGTCTTTTCTTTTGAAATAGAGGGCACGTGTTTGCTCTAAGGTCTCTTTATAACTTCCATCACATTCCTCTTCATCTTCAGCATCAGTTGTCTTTCCTTTATTTTCATTATAAGAGATAATTCATTTGTCAGTATCAAAATGTCTGGAATACTTCTCTGCTTATATTTCATCTTTTACATATTTATTTATTTATTTATTTTTATTTATATATATATATATATATATATAATATATATATATATATATATATATTTTATGCTGTAAAACTAATGAATAAATAAATAAATAAATAAATAAATATATATATATACCGCCCTTCTCCCGAAGGACTCAGGGTAGTGTACAGCCAAAAATAAAAACATAAAAAATATAAAATTTAAAACAATTTAAAAGTATATTAAACAAATTTGGCCCATATTAATTAAAAAACTTTTTTTAAAAAAAAAGAATTAAAAACAATTAAAAGAGTACACCAGCCCGGCTTGCTGGAATAGAAAAGTTTTGAGGGCACGGCGGAAGGTGCATAGATCCGGGATCCTTCGTATCTCCGGAGGCAGTTCGTTCCAAAGGGCAGGTGCCCCCACAGAGGACTAGTCTTTTGACTAGTCGTTTCCGTTTGGACACATCTGGCAAACCAGTCTGGTGCGATCCAAAAGAACCAATCTTGTCTCTGACCTTTAACAAAAGCAAGTTCCTTCAGTGGTATCTTTATCTCTTTAGGGCAGGTACAGTTAATGTAAGCTTTTTTGCAGCCAGCAGGGCAGCCTTTGACACACCGAACAATTTGACACTTGCAGTTGAGGATGTCAAACAGTTTGTCAAGTTTCACAGTGAAAGTTGCTTTGATATCTAGCTTTCCTCTACTAAGAAATATGTTTTTGGCTTGATCCCAGCTCTCTTGGATCTTGTTCAAGATTATCATCCATGAATTTACAACAGGTCACAAAAGAACTGTTTGCTTGTTCCACTTTTCAAGCATTTTTGGATATATGTCTCTTGCAAGACTGGCTGCTGGGTAGTTTCTGGCATCATTACTACTTTGTTCTCTTAACAGTAGGCCATATTGAGATTGTCTCACAGTGTTGGAGTTCAGATGGCAACAAGTCTCTGCCAGTTCCGATTAGGTGGCTCATATGAGTGAATGTTCTCAGTCTTGTTCTTTTTTTAGAAGCCATTACAGATCACACTCACAAGAAACGAGGCCAGCAGTATTAACACTCTCAGACAAAATAACGTTTAACAAAAAGAGAAAGACAGCTGAACCTGGGAAATGAAGCAAACAAAATGTTAAAAAGTTATAATATTTATGCAGTTACTTACCAAGCACATCTAAATTATATTAAAGTAACCAGAATATCTTTACAATCCCCAAAGTATGTCACAACTTTTGAGTACCTCTAATGTTTGGAAATTGAAAGTTGAAAAACTTGATACACCCTAAATTGCGTAACTTGGTCAGCCAGCCCCTGAGACAAACCCAGAGACCATTGCTGCTATGCTGCTCTTTTCTATCTCTCAGCTTGTATGTAGCGGTCAGCACCTTGGATTTTTGGGCAGTAAAGTATTGATATGGGACTATAGGAAATTACTTGAAGGGTCACCACCTAAGTTTCAGAGAGCAAAAGATTGGTATATATCAGGGGTCTGCAACCTTAAATACTCAAAGAGCCATTTGGACCCGCTTCCCACAGAAAAGAAAACACCGGGAGCCACAAAACCTGGCTGGGCGTGGCCAACATGATGTCACTCACTTCCACCAATCACATGACCCACTAGCCACGCCTACCTAGCCAGTCATTAGGGCAAAGAACCAGTTGTTAAAAAACACCAGGAACCACAAAATCCTTTTGACATCTCTCTCTCCTCTCTCTCACTCCCTCCCTCTCCCACCCACTCTCCCTCTCTCTCTGTATCTCTCTGTCTCTGCCCTGACTCCTTCTCCATCCCCTGCCATCACCCTTCTCAGGCCGGGCGAGGAGTGACTGGGAGGGGAGGGTGAGGGCAGGGCCAGCCAGTGGTGGGATCACCTGACGGAGCCACAGCAGAGGGTCCAAAGAGCCGCATGTGGCTCCGGAGCCACAGATTGCTGACCCCTGGTATATATACCTCTGCACCTTCCGCGCCGACCTAAAGTCATGGCTTTTTCAGCAAATTCCCTGATCTGCTGTGTATTTTAATTTGGGATTTGGGGTTTTAAATCGGATTTTAACATTTTAATTCTATTTATTGTTGGACTATTTATTCTGTGAGCCGCCCCGAGTTCCTCGGGAGAAGGGCGGCATATAAATATGACAATAAATAAATAAAATAAATATCCTTCCAATATCAAATATTCTAATAATGTATATTTATATTTTGTGAGTCCTGGCTATTTTTAAAACCACCTCTTGTGTGAATAAGAAAGAGATTGCACTATCCTACCTATTTCCCAGTATGTCTGTGTCTAATCATCTTACCAATTAAATGTTTTTCCTGCCATTGATCAGTAGTTCACAGGCTTGCCAAATTATCATCAGAACAATATACTGACTTGTTTGTTTTTGAGCATTTTGGCTACTCCAGAGTTTGTCAGGATCTCCTGATTGTCTCACTAGCAGATTTTGTACCTTTCTTATAACTTGCTATTTCTCAAAGGTTTGACTAGCAATTACGATCAATGCATTGCACTCATTTTAATTATATTCAGTTGTTCAAGCTCTTCTACAATTCATTAGAATCTGTTTTCCCCAAGACCTTGATAAATGATGTGTCTGCTTAAATAAATGGCTTCCTAAGAAGCAACACTTAATTGTTGCCTGGTCTCAGCAGTAGCTCATTTAAAACAGCAGTGCCTTTGAGCAAAAGCCAAATGCTTTTCGTTTACCACTCAGTATTGATGGTCCAATTGTGCAGCCTAGAATTCATAGGCAGAGCAAAGAGTGCCTAAGGTAAGCTGCCATGAGCACATGCTAATTTTACTATAGACCCCATATACTTACATAAATAGGCACTCACTTCAATACCTAAAATACAGTGTTTTGCAACTGGACATGAATAGAGCACTTGATGATATAATTTTTCCCATTATGATCATGTACATAATCAAATACTCACATTAACTAAAAAGAGAATGCAGAGATATACTTAAATGGACAAAATACTGATTTTTGTGATTGGCCTTCGGAATCCCAGGCTTTCCAATACTATACTTTTTCCACCATGGGAGCATCCCTGTTAAAATGCTTGAAAGAAAACTTCATTCCTAGTCAAGTGGGACATTTATCATCCTAATAAGTATATGGGGGTTGTTGCCCAATTCCAAATAGGACAGGGAGCGAAGCCAAAGAATTGGAGGGTTTTAGGGATGCCAAATAAGACTTATCTCTAGGTATTGTTATTCTACTACAGAGAATTATTTATCCTGAAAAAGAGGTTTTTCCCCATCAATATTTTTAATGTAATATAATTTGGATTTGTTTGTATAAAAAGTACTGGTGCAAATTGAATTTGTTTTTTCTCCTAGCTGTATGGATTTTGACTTGAATGTAAACAATGTTGCAGGAATAAGAAATACATTCCTTCTGAGAACCTATGCATACAGTAAGTAGTTTACTCATTGTATCATGGATTGGGTTCTTTTTAGTATCCTTACTTCCTTTGCAAACTGAGGATACTCGGTACCTAAGATTTTGGCGCCATACATGCAAACTTGAGAGAAAACATTGTACTGAAAAACCAAGCAAACATGTGATGATGGTTGTAAAGAACATGTCAGAATTCTAATACAGGTAGTCCTCAAACTTACAACCATTTGTTTAATAAATCATGGCTTCTCCCATTGACTTTGTTTGTTGGAACTCCCTTGGGAAGGTCACAAATGGTGATCACATGACCCCATGAAGTTGCAACTATCATAAATACATGGCAATTACCAAGTGCCCATATTTTTTTTTATTGTTTTTATTTGATTTATATGCCGCCCTTCCCCGGAGACTCAGGGCGGCTTACAATGTGCTCAGCAATAGCCTTCATCTTTTTGTATATTTATACAAGTCAGCTTATTGCCCCCACAACTGGGTCCTCAATTTACCTACCTTAGAAAGGATGGAAGGCTGAGTCACAATTTTGATTGTGTGACTGCGGGAACACTGTGGCAGTCATAAGTGCGAGACTTGTAAGTCACTTTTTTCATTACCACTGTAACTGAACGGTTGCTACATGAATGGTTGTAAGGACTAGAATAGCACTGGTAAATAATGTGGCAGTTAATATAACAGGATTTTTTTTTTGTTCCAAAATGCTTATAGTTCCTAAAATTAAATAGTATTAGGGAATGGCAGAGAGAGATTCAGGTTTTTAGCTGTATTTACTTTAGTTAAGAAGCTCCAATACTTTGGCTGCCAAATGAGATTGGAAAAGATCCTGATATTGGAAAAGATTGAAGGCAAAAGGAGAAGGGGATGGCAGAGGATAAGATGGTTAGATAGTGTCATTGACACAGTGGGCATGAGTTTGTGCAGGCTCAGGGAGACGATGGAGGACGGGGGGCCCTGGCATACTATGATCCATGAGGTTGTGAAGTGTCAGACATGACTTAGTGACTGAACAACAACAAACAACACTTTAGTTAAGAAAAAGTATTTGGTGGTGAAGCTATGAAAATGGTAGACAGAATAGATTCCTCTAGATAAGAAGAGCTTCTAGTGTAATAAAGAAGGGCAAAACTATTTTAAAAGGTAAATATTTGTTAGCATCCCTAACCCTAATAATGATACATGAGTATGTGCTCTAGTTGAGAGGTCAGTCTTGAATTAAATTGTATGTAGCCATTCTCATTGAATAATCATGTAAGTGTTCTGCCTGTCAAAATTTTATTTCTTGTTTATAGTTGAGAACCGAGTACGTCCATTAGCGCTGGTTGTAAAGAAATGGGCAAGCTTTCATGGTATAAATGATGCCAGCCGAGGCACTTTAAACAGCTATAGTCTTGTGTTGATGGTTTTGCACTATTTACAAAGTAAGTACTCGCTGAACTTTTCAAATGACTTTTGCCCTGAATATAACGCTTGTCAAATTCTCTTCTTAGAATCAATTGTTAAGAAACTGCTAGCAATGTCTCTAGGTAAAATATTTGCTTTTGATTTTACTACTTTCACTTGTGCCATGTTTTTGATGCATGAAAGGTCTTCTCTGGGAAACATGCATATTTATGAAAAATACTGAAACAGTCTGTAATATAATTACTTAGATTTCTTGCTGATTTTTAAATATAGTAGAGAACAAATTTAAAAAATCAGTCACTAACAGTCACTTTATTAGCTGTTTACATTAATATTAATTGCTAAACATTAATAGTTAACCTTAACTACTTTAACATTCTTCTAACTGACTGTTGTATTTTAAATGGATTTGAATATTTAAAAAGCAATTGCTGCCATAAATTATTGTAGTTTTCTGTTTCAAGCTTTGTTTATCAGGAATTCTATGATGAACAAAAACTGAATGGATGAGGATATACAGTATAACCATCATTAAACTTTTATTACAGACAAGAAAAGCTTGATCTTACTGTATGTGTAAATTATTTCAAGAGAAATATATGTACACAAACCCCGAGCTCATTGGAAAAAGGACAAGATAAAATTCTGTTTGTAGTTGTGTTTTTCAGCTATGATAATTATAATTAGGCATTAGGGAAATAAAAACGGGGATTCTTTTTTTAAAAGTTGTATTTTTGTTACTGTAGAAACTTTTCTTAGATATTATAATGTGATAAGTTATCATTAACGTTAAGCTATACATTATAATAGTATATAATATACAAATAGTCCTAGAGATATGAATGGTCACTTAACGGCTTAACGGCTGTTTGAAATTATAACAAATCCCTCAAAAGCTACTTAAAACCCTGTTTTGAAGTTATAGTTGCTGCAACCCCTGCAGTCACCCTTACAATTGATCACAGAAATGCTGTAGTGCCCCTGCCTTCACTCCCCTGATCCCACGCTGCTGGGTCCCTGCAGCCCTTGGGTCTATTCCCCACATTCCTATTATCCAATGGACATTTACCTTTTGAAGATATCCAGACTTCATGATGGGGAAGGAGTTCAGGTCGATGGGACAGCTTGTGGTGGCCAACTTGCCCCAGTTGACTTGCCCCACCTGTCTCATCATGGCTGACTCTCTACGGCCGGCTCATCACAGGACAACTCACTGGAGGACAAATTGCCACAGGACAATTCAATCGGGGATAACTCAAGAATTGCAGCTCACCACAGCCCTGAGTACTTTTAACTTGAGTGGGTTTAAACCTAAAGGAAGACAAGACCCACTGAAATTGTCTCTCTCTTGAGTTATCCTATATTGAATTGTTATGCAGTGAATTGTTCCATGGTGAGTTGGCTGTGGTGAGTCTGACGGGGCAAGATGGCTGGGACAAATAGGCCATGTCGAGTTGACCTAAACTTTACCTGGGCCATGTGGCTAATTTCCAATCATTTTCAGCAGCTCCACAATTATTTGTCCCTCATCTACACAGCAATCATCATCCAAGAAGTGGATGCTATTTGGGTGGAATTGAAGGCACACTGAAAATGATGGTTGCCTCCAGAAGGCAGCCACACAGCCAGGGATATGTGGCCTGCCCTCCATCCCCAAAATGAGTCTGGAGATCTTCAAAAGGTAAATTAGGAGGAAAGTGTGGGGCTCAGTGGGGTTGGAATCAGGCTTAAGGTCTGCAGGGAAGTGGTGGAAGGGTAAAAGGGCCTTAGGGACCCAGTGTGAAAGAGAAAGGCCTGCAGAAACCTGGTGGAAGAGGGAAAGGCTGCAGGGGCCAAGGGATAGGAAGCAGAGTATGGGGTGTTTCAGGTATGGGGGAGACCTGGAGCAGGAGGAGCTGGGGCTCAGTTCTAAGTAGAACTGGGGCTCCTGCACTCCTAAAGCACTCTGTGCTTTGCTTAACAACTTGCACATTTGTTTAATGGCTGCGTCAGAGAGAGAAGGGGATGGAGTCATTGAGTGAGATTATCTCACTTCATGGCCATCACCACTTGTGACTGTAAAGGGTAGGATCCATATCTTGAGGACTATCTATGATATAGTAATGATAAAACACGTATTTGTGTTTTATCGGTCCAGGTTATCGGTCCAGCCATTTTATGTTTCTGATGAAGTGAGCTGTAGTTCACAAAAGCCTTTGCCTTTTAATAAAATTATTAGCCAGAAAAGATACTATAACATTCTGAGTTCTTGCTCTCATAATATATCACAACTTTCCACCTTTAATCTAATTAATTATATGTTTTTCTTTTAAGTATAAATATGAGCATTAAAGTAAGACATTGTTGGGAAACTGAGCCTTCTACAGCCATACTTGCTTCAGTTTCCTTTGAGACCAATTAAACATGTTGATGCTCCAAATCATAAGTACTCCGGCCTAGTGGAATTATATAGTTCACTCAAGAGTTTTGCAGATGAGAGAGAGGAAGGGAGTGGGGGGGGGGGGGGGGGGAGAGAGAGAGAGAGAGAGAGAGAGAGAGAGAGAGAGAGAGAGAGAGATTGATTCACTGATTGCATATAAAATAGGTGAGTCATTTCATGAACATTTTCAACTTGGACATAAGGAATTGCTGCCCATCGCATGCCCTTAGGATTCTAATAAGTATATATTTTTTAAAGATGTACAGGTATTCCTTGACTTACAACTGGTCACTTAGCAACTGTTCAAGACCCCCAAAGCTACTTCCAGCCTGGTTCAGTTAGGGCTGCTCTTACCCCTATGATCATTCACCTTTACAATTGTCTGCAGGAATGTTTAAGTGCCCCCTCACTTCCAAGTCCCCTGCTTCCCACCCCACTAGGCCTCATTCCCTCCTCCCCACCCTCCATTACTCATTGCACACTTAACTTTCAAAGATCTCTGGGCCTCCAAGGACTCATGTTGGGGAAGGAGGCAAGCCGCTGCATCCCTTGGTGTCCCTGTGTCATATGGTGTGGTCCCAGAAGTGGCTGCCATTTTCAGAGTGGCCAAAATTCATTGCAGCCGCTTCTATGATGAAGCCATGCAGCCCAGGGATGCTGAGGGATGGGAGCTACCATTCCTCCTTCTCTAACACAAGCTCTGGAAGGGTCACAATTCATTTTGGCTGCTCTACAAGTGGCATCTTCTTCTGGGATGAAGCACTTGTCCCAGGGACACTGAGGGACAGAGCACCCTGCCTCATCCCCCCCCCCCCAGTGCAAGCTCTGGAGGTCCAGAGATCCTCAAAAAGTAAGTGCATGATGGCTGATGGGAGGTGGGGTGGAAAAAAGGATATAAATCCCAGTGGATGGGAAGCAGGCACATGGTCTGTGGGATCTGGGGTGGGGTGGGGGGAAGAGCATATGTTGTCTCGGAAGGGAGAGGAGGCTTGGGAGGCCCAACGCTGGTGGGTTTTGGCCTGTACTAGGCTTCCCAGGCCCTCTCCCTTCCCTGTGGTATCCAGTGCTCTGCTTAACAACTTGTGCAGTGATCAAATGGCCGCATCACAGAGAACTGGGATGGAGGTTGTTAAGTGATATGAATGATCATATAGTCACTTTGCTTAATGACCATCACAATTTGCAACTATAATGGACAGGCTCAATTACAGTTGTGAGTTGAGGAATACCTGTAAATAAGATAAGTTTTTATTCACTGTTAATATTGATAGTGGCTATTTTTAGATAAGTTAAATTTTCCATTCACTGAAAGCTAGACCTTATTCCAGATACTAGTCTGAGAACATAATTTACACCTTAATCCTATGTTGATCATTTAGAATTGCATAATCTGCAAAAACCTAAAAACATCACGTTTATAACTAAATACAATGTCTTCAGTGTTGAAAATTTCACATGTCCCTGGATAAATTTATATTGCAACTTTGGCTTAAATGAGTGTCATATTCTTAAATGTTTAATCAGTTTTCTCACACATTTATGCGAGTAATATGTTTAATTTAAAAAGCTAGAACTTTGAGTTTTGGGTTAAGCATTTGACCTTAAACTTTCAGTTCACACCACTAGTGTAGCTGGTATGTTGTTTTCTGTGAAATATATAAATCACAGTGACTTTAAACTTTTTTTTTATAGCCCTACCTGAACCTATCCTTCCATCCCTCCAAAAAAATTACCCAGTAAGTGCTTCTTATAAATTACTACATAATATGTTTATTGAAATGATTATCTTCCACATGAATGTTGCTGTTACCTTGGGATAATGACAAAATATGCCTCTGACCATGTTTGTTAGAACTCCACAATGCTCTACATGTGTATAGAAAGTTCTCCTGCAGACTGACTCATTCACCCTTTTTAAATACAAATCAAATTTTAAAAGTCAATTCTAATTATGATCTTTGGCTGAGAAATAAGAACTATTGTATTTATTTCTCTTAAGTTGTATGGATGTCTTTTTTGTTAGCTGGTGGAAAAGGCAATACCGACTGACTGGATTTCTCTTCCTGCAATGTCTTATGCACTATCAGATCTATTCCAGAGGTTTGGGGAATCTCCCTGAGAAGATTTGGGAGGCATGTGTTGGGAGATGAGTAATTTGATATAGACCCATGAATCTGGATCATATTACCTTATGAATTGAATTGAATACTTATTAGACACACAAGGAATTTGTCTCCGGTGCAGAAGCTCTCAGTGTACATGCAAGGCAACGGAATAATGATAATTATAATAATAATATAAAAAATAAGAGGGGGGAGTGAAGAAGATAATAAGAAAGATTAATAATAATACTACAATCATACTACATGGGATCCATTCTGCATGGCAGTACTGTGTTATTTCACCTTTTCCTGATGGTCATCTACCTTTTAATATTTTATTATATTCAGTTTGAATTTATTTCCATAATGATTTTTTGCTCGGCTTCTGCCTGATTATTATTTAAAGTATCTTGTGGCAGAGATGGTACTGATAAATTATTATGCTAAATATACCAAAACATTGATATAATAGAAAGAAGTAAACTAGCATGCAGGATACTAAGAGCAAAGAGGATGATTAAGAGATGGCAATTGCATAGAAAATGTAGAAGCAATTTAAAACTAATTCTGCTCCTCTTACATCAAAATAGCTAATTAAAATTTCCTGATTTCAGGATCATGTTTGGTAAAATAAGAGATACATAGTAGGGTCACTCACTTAATTTTATTTTATAAAATTGCTATTGAAGTAAAAACTTGAACAACATTTTTCATTGAAATTAATGTATAGTGTAAAGGTTTTTGATATTTAAATCTTTAATTATTAAGGTTCACAGTATTGGAATATTTCTATTTTCAGTTACGTTGAATCATTAAAAGATCCAAACTATATATGTTTATAATCTCAGTGGAAACAATGCTTTTTAAAATGCTGGACATGCACAGTTCTGTATCTAAAACAAGTATCTGCACATTTTAAAATGTCTGTAAAGATCAGTGGAAAACTTTTTGACATAGCAGCATTTTAAACAAGTAGTTTTAGCTGAGATGTGAGAATACCAAGTCTTAAAGTAATATTTAAGATCAACAAAACAATATTTGATTTAACAATTGCAGTTTGCAGTTATACATGTCTTTCTACATAAATATTTTCATAGTGCAATACATTTGAAATGGCATTATGTCACCTGTTTGTCAATTCACACTGCTTATTAAATTGTAAGGATTACATTGCTTTGGATATAGTTCAGAATAGACTCTTTGGATCATGTAGAAGTATGAAAATGGCATCTTTGATTCATTAAAACAACCATGTCATTTTCCAGACTTATGTCTCTGCTGCAGAAGCCACACTTCTGGAATCAAATGTGGCTGCTTTATCCGATGTTGGGCTTGTGTTTCCATAGTTTTGAACCAAATCCAAAGCATTGCACAGCCATAATAACTGGACTGCTTTAAATATAGTTTATTTTGGATATTTAACTTAGTTCAGTCTGCCGATAGGATAGGACTTTCAAAATTAATCCTACTGCAAGGATGGAGAGCTGTTATCAGTATAAGTATCAATTAAAGCTAGACACTATCTTACTGGGCATTTTTCAATGTTAGATAGAATCCAGATAGTGTATGCCCTCAAGAAAATATCTCAGAGGCATTAATTGCTAATGCATCATTGTGCTCAAATCAACATTTAGGTCTACTTAGAACTGAGTTTAAAATTCTGTTCAAAATCGCAGGAAGGAGCACTACCTGAAAACAGCTTCCATAGGCATGTTTAACCAGAAATAAATAAAGCAGCAATTGCCAATAATAGCTCTATTTCAGAAGCAATTTGTGACTGTACTATTATACACATCTGCTGAGATGTACATTTTAAAAATTCAGAAGAACAGCCCTTTTGGAGTAAAATATATAACAAATTGACCCAGGAAGAAGTAAAGGAGCTTAACATCCAGTATATTTTGCATATTTATCAAGGGGTAAAGTAGTGTGAAAATATTGCTTAGTTGCAGAAATCATGATAGCACCCTGAAGTAAGCAAATGTTCCCAAGGACTTTTTTGTTGCAAGGTGCCTGGAAATGACCAGATGCCAGAGCACCTGGGAGCAAACCACAGAGGAAGCAGAATCAAAGGTAAGGGACTTGCTGCATCAGATGCTATGTGGGACACTTTGGGGAATTGCAAATGCCAGATTAGGTAAAGACTGGAATACTTTAACCCATTGGATAAATTTAGTTTTCATTGTCCATAATCTGGCAAGATTACTGAATAATCAGTGTTTATTTAAATGATTTGGCCTTGTATGTGGGTTTTTTTGTTTATATTTTCTCCTTAATGCGTTCATTGGCATTTCCTGGGATAGTCTTCATATTGCTCCATTTTTGAGGACAAACAGTACAGTTTTTTAAAAAAGCTTTAAAATTGTAAGCCGCCCAGAATTACTCTGTGGTAAGATGGGCGGCCAATAAATTAAATAATAAATAAACAAAGCTTGACTGAAACATTTTGTATTAATAACTATAGAAATTCCTGTTGTCTCTGTAGTACTCACTGTATACTCCTGTATTAGTCAACATAACTAGATTAGAATATTTGGTGTTTTCAGCAACAAAAAGAAGGAATGAATAATGTCTTTTGGCCAAGGATATGGACTTTTGTTTTTGTTTTTTTAACAAAATGGCATTTTTAGATACTCAGAATTAAACAAGCATAATAGCAATTTGGAGAGTTTTTTTGGCTGCTGCACTATTATGAACTACAGGAATGTTTGAAAAAGAGTTAGGTACTGCAGGCAAAAGTGAAATGGTCCATTCAACCAATTTGAAGTTATTTGTTTAGATCAGCTCATTTTGGGCATTCCAAATGGGATTTCCTTCTGAGCATTCCCAGGAATATCCCTTACCTTCCCCACATCAATGTTGCTCAAACTACATTAACTCTTTCAGTTTACATACAGTACATAAGATAGATTTATTGAGGAGAGGGCAGGCTTGTGTGTGATTGTTCTTGCCCACATGGAAGTCAGTCACTTGAAAACTGAATAGAGCTGCATATTTCTGGTTTCTGATGTCTTCAGGATGAATTGCTGTTTGATTAACAGAAGTACAGTGATTTAGTATAAGGATAAGATGATTTAAGGAGGAGGGATTTAGATGCATTGAACTAGATTATATTTACTACACTAGGAGAAAGAAATGTCAGAGGACACTTGATGGACCATTTCAGGGGAAAGAAGGTTGCAAGTGTCAGTTTCATCTTTTGGTCTGGGGAATATGGGCACCAAATTTATATGTCCCAAAAGTGCTTTTCCAGGAGGGAACTGGACTTTTTTTTCTTTGAAGACGTTTCACTTTTCATCCAAGAAGCTTTTTCAGCTCTGACAGGATAGTGGGGAATGGAAGAGCTGAAGAAGCTTCTTGGATGAGAAGTGAAATGTCTTCAAAGAAAAAACAAGAAAGCCAGGTTGCCTCCTGGAAAAGCACGTTTGGGACAACCGTGACCTGGATGACTGAGAATCTCTACAGTCTTCTACCAAATTTATATGGACAAGACCATGCTCAGCTGTGACTTTGAGGGGATGAGTAGGGGACTTGGTTTGTGTTACCAGGACCTGATTTGGCAGCTAATATTGCTAAGAACGGCGCTCCTGGATTTCAGATTAATAGCATTTTCAGTAGGAAATGGAGACGCTGTGGTTGACTTTCAAAGACATATTTGTAGCCAGGGATTCTATTGCTAATACGTTTAATTTAGCCATGCTTTTATGTTAATTTAGGATTTTGTTTAGCTATAGTTTACATATAGCTAAACTAGAGCTATATAGGGTTAGTCCATATGTTAATTTAGATTTAATTTATGATGCCTGTATATTAATTTAGGCAATGGGGACAGTCTACGGCAGTGTTGGTGAATCTTTTAGGCACCGAGTGCCGAAACGGGGGCGCGCGTGTGCAGGAAACCAGAAGAGCAGCCACCCCATGCGCATGTGTGCGCCATGTGGCTGCTCTTCCGGTTTCCGGCATATGCGTGCGCATTGGCCATCTGGTCTTCACGCACGCATGCACACCAGGAACCAGAAGACCAGGTGGCTGGTGCGGCATGCGCGCATGCGCGTGCAGGAAACCGGAAGAGCATCTGCATGCACACCGGGTGGCTGCTCTTCCGGTTTCCGGCGCTCTTGCATGCATGAAACCCAGCTGGCCGGTGTGCTGGCTCTGCGTGCCACTTCCGGCACGTGTGCCATAGGTTCGCCATCAGGGGTCTAGGGATCGTGTATTACGCTGATTACCTTGCTATGTGGGATAGTTTCCTGGGCTCTGGACTTGATGCCAACACTGGTTTGGGGTTCTCTTACCTGTTACTGCTGGGAAATTCCATTTTTCATATATTGAGGGTTGGATACAAGAGAATCCAGGTTTTTATAATAATCATGAGCTTATCTCAAATACAAGTTAACCTGACATGCATATATATTTATTTGTAAATTTCTGGGAGTCTTAGATTTGTGTTGGATCAGATTTATTTTGTTGTGGTAAATGTAGACAAAAAACAGATCTGAGTCTAAAACATGAGCTATTTCTATCAGATGAAATTTCTGTTTAAGTTCTATGAATTGTCACACAAATTATCTCTTCCCCTGTTTTGCACAAGTGCATTTTTAGCAGTTACACAATTATGAGTCCTTTGAGGTTATGGCTTTATGTTATAACTACCTCCCTCCCCTAGATTTTCAAGTGAAATGTTCTTAATTTGACTGTATTGTATGCCTCCTTTGGATAGGCATTTAACTAAATGCATTTGCATTTTAGAAAATTACAAATGAAGGCAAATTTATATTCAGGCATGGCTAATTGCTGGCATGATTAGTGCTATGTCAGAACTCACAGGGTGAATTTGGGCAGTAATTCCCTCAGTGCAACCCATGTTACTGTTTTATTATGGAAATAAAAGGTGGTAGCTGCATTTAGACAAGCCTTAGGTTTGGAAGAGGTACAGTGCAACATAATGCAAAACAAATTACAATTTCCCTACACTTCCTTGACTTGTATTTTATAACAACCTTGAGCATCTAAAGAACACTTCTTACTACACCCGTTTCTGAAAAAGCGGCAAGGTAAATCCTTCTGAATCCCGCTAGAAGAAAATATTTCTCTCACTACCACATAGCAACCTGCATCATTTATAAATTTGGAGATTCATAAAATGGTCTGTTTAATTCTTCTGAAACTGACAGAATTTATGTCTCTGACTTACATAATCTAAGTGTGTAGTTCTTTTTTTTTACAATGTTCTATCAATTTTCCCTGAGGAGCCTCAGTTACACTATTTTGTGGGGCAAATTAGAAATGGGATTATTTGCATTTTTTAGAATGCAAACTGGCACAAAATGCAAGGAGACTCATGAAGGTTTCCTGTATATATATGAAAGGAGATTTATTTTTCCAGCCACCACAGTAGAAGAAACTGTTCAGCTTTCACTTTCTGCTGCTCTTATCTTGATAATTATCAGCTTTAAGAACAGCTGCTGTATCCATTGTTTAAAACGTGTGAGTGTGTGTGTGTGTGTGTGTGTATGTATGTATGTATGTATGTATGTATGTATGTATGTATGTATATATGCAAGTATTTAGCATCATGTACTTTCTCCTTGAGCTTGGATACTTTGTCTTACATATTTTTCTTTACTGTATCTTTCTGAAGTTCATGATGATTTTTCCAAAGTTATTGGGCAAACCCACAATTTTTCAATTTTTCACTGGTGACATGGTATAAATAAATGGCTGATGCCAAAATGATCAGTTGTTAACCTAACATATTATAGATAATTTAAGCAGGAAGTAAAAGCTTATGAATCATTACAAGGTCATCAATTTGGTGTTGTATTCTTACCTCAGAATGGCATGGCATAGTGAAAGGAATAGCTCTAAAGTAGAGCAAAAATGTTGTTTATATTAAACTAAAAAATATGTTTTCAAATTTAGTTATCTTCTTCCTTTGTTGGCCTTGACTTTGTCACTCCTTGCTGTAGTACCTTGAGACTAGTGAAGAACCTTTCAGAGCTGTCCTTTATCTCTAGAATGCTATGTTAATAACATTATTTAGTATAGTATAGCCTTTAGTGCCATTGTACATCATGAATACAACGAAATTGGTTTTAGCCTCACTGGTGCAATCCATGAAAAAAAATACAAACAACATAAATAGTATAAAGAATAATCCCTATGCAAGTAATTAGGGGGAAAAAAGAAAAAGAAAGAAAAAGAAAAACTAGTCATACATTTCCGCGTGTGCTTGGAGTGATTGTGGTTGTGTTTAAGTGTCTGACAGCCCAAGGAGAGAAACTATTTTTAAACCTATTTGTTCAGCTGGCTACGCTTCGATGTCTTCTGCCCGACGTGCAGAAGTGCGAAGAGACACTGACCAGGGTGTGAATCATCTCTGAGTCTCTTCCTTAGTCTGCTAAAGCAGCAAGACCTGGCGATGTCATCCAGGGTGTTTAAGTAATTATTTAAGTAATTATTTAAGTAACTGCTTAATTTTTCAGTTCAGCTGAAACAATTGTTATGAACATTTGATAACAACTTTGATTTGTTACATACAAATGAACCAGAATGGTAAAGTCTAGAATTGATTCTTCCTATCACTACCTTTTTTCAGAAAAGCTTATTTGAGGTGTAAGATTTAATTCAGGATTGGTGACCGCAGGCGAAACATTATATTGCTCAATCAAAATAAAAATGCATTTATTGTCTGGGATACATATACGGGTAACTATATGGTGCAGGACCAGGTTTTCTTTTATTTATATATTTAATTTCTATAGCCGCTCAACTTAACCAAGGGATTCTGAGCAGGACCACTTCTCCGTAAGAACCCCTATCTGTCCTACCAGGTCAGATAGGGTGATCATGTTCCTACTCCTTCCCTTACACAATGTCATCTTATGGGAAGTGGGCTTTTTCTATGGCAGCCCCAGCCCTGTGGAACATCCTTCCCAGGGGTGAAATGCTCCCGGTTCAGACCAGATCGCCGATCCGGTAGCGATGGAGGCGGGTGGTTTGGAGAACTGGTAGCAAAAATCCCTGCCCCCCCCCATTGCCCAGCTGAGCTGCACAATCATCAGAGGCTTTTTTTTAATTTTTAAAAAGCATTTTTTCTACAACCTCTTTGGCCGAAAAAATGCTTTTAAAAGTAAAAAAAAAAAAAAAAAGCCTCTGATGATCGCGCAGCTCAGCTGGGATCATCAGAGGCTTTTAAAAGCATTTTTTCTACAACCTCTTCGGCTGAAGAGATTATAGAAAAAATGTTTTTAAAAGGAAAAAAAGCCTCTGCCGATCAGACAAGTCAGCTGGGATCATCAGAGGCTTTAAAAGCATTTTTTTACAACCTCTTCAGCCGAAGAGGTTGTATAAAAAATGGTTTTAAAAGTAAAAAAAAAAAAGTTGGCCATGCCACTCAGTCATATTACCCCCACACACACCAAGCCACGCCCACAGAACTGGTAGTAACAAATTTTACATTTCACCACTGATCCTTCCCTCTGAGGTTTGGCAGGTCTATGCCATCTGAGTTTTCCAAAAAGCACTTAGGATCTGACTTTTCCCCAAACATTGGAATACGGTGAAGTGGAAGAGAGGATTTAATAAGGAATTGCATGTGGAAGCTTAATTTTGGTGCTAGATTTTTAAATGTATATTGTTTTAATACATATATGCATTATTTGCTTTTATTATTGATGTTTTAATTATTGATTGGGAACCACCCAGAGTTTGATATAAGATGGGCGGCTAGATAAATGTTTCAAATAAATATTAAAGCTTTAACTACCCAATACAGAAATTAAATATTGCAGGGAATATTACCTCTTCCATGTATTTCCGTTATCCATGTTTTAAGTGTATTATTTAGTTTTATTCAAATCAGAAAACAGGATATTAAAAGTTTTGATTTTAATGCAGTTTGTCAGAAAAGTTAACTAAAGTAAAATCAATAAACAAGCCATCATCACTCTCTAGAAATATTTGTCATTTGAATCCTACTGCTCTGCAGAGTAACTCAGGTGTTCCTATATGAAGATTTCTTGTTCAGGTGGATGCTGGGTTTATTCCGGCACTTTGTTCTCCTGTTTCATTTTAAGGGGCATTTTTAGTTACCTGGCAGCATGACAAACCTTTTTCCTTACTTGCTATAAATCAGCAAAAGAATCCAATTAAATGTGTACAATTTTCTTTACATTAGAAATAATTTAGGTTGGCAGTAAAGCTCAAATGCCTGAAGATTTAGGAAATTTATAAATGGCAGGAAGATGACCAAAACCAACTAAATGCTGGTATTCCAGAACTTTCAGAAATCTTTCAACTTCTCTCTTGCCCAGACTCTGTACTTTTTTCCACAGTATTGTGTAATATGAAGATGAGAAAAGAAGCAGGCAATAACATGCTCAAAACTATTAATATTATTTATTTTGTAGATGAGAGGCTTGCATATTGAATTTTTAAGAGTCTGATCAAATTGGCATATTAGCTAAAGTAGTTTTATATGTGAGTAGAACTTGTCTGTATGTCAGATGAATGTTTATTTTTGAAAATATCTGAACAGATTATAGATAACATCACATTTTGGTCCATAAATAGAACTTTAACTTCTATTTTTGTTTCTTTGTCTTTACAGGAATCTTTTGATCCTACTATGCAGCTGCATCTTGTGCATCGAGCACCATGCACCATCCCTCCTTACATTTCAAAAAACCAATCTACACTTGGAGATCTGTTGCTAGGCTTCCTGAAATACTACGCTACAGAATTTGAGTGAGTGATCAACTTTTCATTTTTACAAATACTCTGCTTGCTTTTTTCTGCTCTGATTGCAGTTTATATAGAGGAGTTCCAATTCCTCTCTATTTTCATTTAAGGAGCAAAGGGTTCCTTTTAGGTAGCTTGTTTATAATGGTAAAAGAGAGGTTTATAGAGATAAGCTAAACGCTTGCATGTACAGGTGGGCTTAAAATGTACAACATAATCTACTAGTTAGATCTGGCAATCTCTGGTTCAGATGTCTATGGAGATTCTCAGTCACCCAGATCATGGTTGTCTGAAAGGTGTTTTTTCAAGACGCAACTGGACTTTTTTTTCTTTGAAGATTTTTCGCTTCTCAGAGCTGAAGAAGCTTCTTGGATAAGAAGCGAAATATCTTCAAAGAAAAACAAAGTCCAGTTGCCTCTTGAAAAAAGCATCTATGGGTACAAGCCTTATTTAAAGGAGCTCTGTTGCACATCAACACCAATTCAAGCAGATGGTAGTGATGGTGACACAATTATTTGGTAGTATCGTCATCATCATCGCTATGTTATCCTTCTTTTCTACATCTAGAAAGATACTATATTTTCTCTTGAAAGTTTAAGATGGAATCATTAAGATCCATATCTTTCTCTCTGGCACTGTGACGCTGGAGTTTGTTTTTTCCTTTAAGGGTACCTTACTTTGTTTCAGAGCTCTGTGCTTCTCACTGCTGTTCAAGCGCCATTTCTTAATTCATAAAGCAGTTTTCAGTGAAAGGATTCATAGGAGTCCTCTCCATCATTGACACTTAATATGTGTATTTCAGCTCCCAAGATTCCCCAGTCAGCATGGCCATCGTTAAGAATCCCTGAACATAGTTCGTACTGTGTTTTCCCGAAAATAAGACTGGGTCTTATATTAATTTTTGCTCCAAAAGATGCATTAGGGATTATTTTCTGGTTAGGTCTTATTTTGGGGAAAATACGGTACTAAATGCATCCATCTGGCTGACAACTGGGGCTTATTTTGGGTTTGGGGCTTATGAGTATCCTGAAAAATCATGCTAGGTCTTATTTTCCGGGTGGGTCTTATTTTCGGGGAAACAGGGTGAATGTTGAGAGCAATTAAATTAATCAATGCTGTTTCAGAGCAAAGTTGCTGCCTGATGTTGCTATGCATTTAATTAATTGTGATCTCTTCATGGTGATTTGGTCTTTGGTTAAGTTTGCAGTATGTAAGCCTGAACTGTTTGGCAAGATTAAAAATAACATCATAGCAAAACTGGAATTAATTGTACAATGGCATCCGTAAAATACAAAGTAAAACACTGAAGCATGATGGTTTAATTTTGCTCTCGTTTTGTATTTGAATCAAGTTACATGAGCCACGTTTCTGCTGAGTTACATGTGGGTGTCTGGAACAAAAAACGTTTCTAGTTCACTGCCATTCTTTTTATTGCCTGTAAATAAATTCTGGAGAATAGTGTGGGAAGTGACCAGTGTTTTTGAGGCTAGATGTAAGTTTATAAACTTCTTGAAATTTGTAACATTCCTCTGTGCTTTGCATAGGTGATAGGAAAATTATGAGTTGTGTCCCCTAGAAGGATTTTGATCGAATTTGAAGGAAACAGATATGTTGAAGTATAGACAGGAAACACAGTCTTTGCAGTGCTCCAGTTTCTGGAGAAGTCAGGAGGGCAGAGCATGTGCTGCATGAGGCTAATAGAAAGTGCCCAGACCCAAGCAGGGCATTCTTCAGAGCTGGGATGAGTTACAGTAGCTGCTGGTAAAATTAGCAGACATGCTTGGCCACTTCAAGCCTGACAGCTGGCCAGCCTACAGCCCAGACAGGACAATTACTGATGCTACATCTGTATAGGAGAAAATACTCTCTACCTTGTATACAAAGAGATACCCCAACCCTTCTCTGTGTTAGTGGGATAGTTTTTATGCTTTTAAAACTTGATCCAGAAATTGCTGGACCAAGGCTAAGAATACAAGTGACTGGCAACAACCTCAGACACATGGATTAAAATCTGGAATTTCCAGGAAAAAACCTAACTCGGAAAAACTAGAACACGTGCTTTTGAAGGAATTAGGGAAGCATTTGTATTAGATATTGGTGTTTCATTTCTGTCTGCAAGTACACCAGTAGTATGTATTGCAATATATCATACGTATCTTGGGTTGTGTTTGAGGAAATAGGTACCTTTTGTGATTTTAAAACACTAACCTGAAATTTCACTCTGTTCTTTTTCAAGTTAGTTTTTTATTTGTAATACATCAGCTTGTGCTCTGCTTGGAGCATTGTACCTTTTATGAAATTGGGCTACCTCTCAAGGAAGGCCAAAACACTTTTTACACTCAATTCTATATGAACAGGAAGAGGCACTATTGGAATTTTTTCTTTTTTCTTTTTTCATTTTCAAAGTCTGGAGTCGATGTCTGGTGGGGTACTTATTGGAAGATACATGATGGCAGCAGGATCTGCCATGTTGCACTATTCCAAAACAGTGGATAGACTCCCATGTGAAGATTCAGAGGGTTTCTAAGACCTCTGGGCATCTACCTTTGGGGTTTAAGTTCTTATTTATAAAACAAAAGTATTGTCTTGTGCCTTGTACACACAGGTATAGGCATATTTTCTTTTCTGTTTTCTAAACATTTCTAAACTTGTTTAACGAAGATAATAGAGACTTGCTTGTTGTTTTTATTTCTAGCTTCTGGGCTTAGATTAGAATGGGAGGGGATGCTTTAGAGATCTGCTGGCATCTTTCTGGGAAGAAATGTATGTTACTGGGAAGAAATGTTTACCTGCCTACCATTAGAAAACTTCTTGAGGGACAATTTATCACATTCCTAAATTGTTGTGCAGCCAGGGCATCCAGTCCAGCCACCTCAGTATGACCCACTCACTGCTTCAGTTAAAGAAAATAGGATGCTTAATTGATTATATAGAGGCCTTTGATTCAATCATAAGGTGAGGATTGCACTTAGAAAAAAGGGAATCCCAGAATATCTCATTCTCCTCCTGAGGAATTCAGGACTAAGGGCCAGTTCTCCCCTCCCCTAGTCCAATGGAATTTTAATTCAGCAGCCTTATACATGATTTACTTCCTCTTCCTGGACCCAACAATCATATTTCTATTTCTAAGGAACACAGATAGGAACTTGTGTTAAAGTCCAACTTTGGTAGGATGGTAGTCCACTCTAATATTTAAAAATCATTTCCCAATGGCTTTTACATGACAACTTACATATCACATTTGATTCAAACATTTTAGACAACTATTTTCCCTTTCTGTTTGCTAGTTGGAACAATCAGATGATTTCAGTTCGTGAAGGCAAAGCTATTCCAAGACCGGATGGTATTGAATGGAGAAACAAATTCATTTGCATAGAAGGTAAATCCTACATCCTTGTCATAGTTTATGTTTTCTAAAACTAAAAATTCTCTGCTGGTATAAAGTCATTTTTTAGTTTTTTATTTATTTATTTTTGTAATTATAATATTTAGTTTTGCTTCCGGGTGAGCCTAGCTCACTCTGAGACTCATGGGCATTACATCAAGGGTGAGACAAGATTTTGCACCTTTTTTTCTTTTTGGTGTCTTGATTGTAGGCAACTGCATGGACTAGTCCTTAAAGTTTTCTTGGCATGGTCTTATTTCAGAAGTGGTTTGCCATTGCCTCCTTCCTAGGGCTAAGAGAGAGTGACTGGTCCCAGCTGGTTTATGCTTAAGGCAGGATTAGAACTCACGGTCCCTCCAAATTCCTAGCCTGATGCCTTAACCTCTATATCAAGTGGTTCCTTTGTACCTTTGTTGTACTTTAATTTGCTTGATTTAAACTGCCCAAAATGGAAAAATTGGGAATGTTTGTAGAGAGGTGTTAAGAGTAATATATAGGTCCTAGACTGCCATTATATGGACATGGTATGAGGAATTTCAGGCTTATATATTCTTTCCCTGTGTGTGATTAGGAATTTAGTATTTAGTATTTTAGTATTTTGATTTGTGGAAACCACTGTTTATCATTTTATTAAACAGGCTAATTATATTCCTCTCTGTTAGTTTGTTTTAAATAATAATAATGCGTTTATCCAAAATAAAAACAGCCCTCCGCTGAAGAAAGTTAGAAGCAATATATAACACATGCCAAATTTTGATGTGGGAAGAGAACATTCTGGAAAACTCTGGAATGCCCCCCTTTCCTCCAGACAATATTGAATCATCTTACAATTCCAGGGGTGGTTTCAGGAACTTAATCTTCCAAGACAAAAGCATGTTCAGAACACCCCAAATTATTCCAATTTCAGAGGTTTTACTTCTTGAAATCACCAAGACATTCCCAGAAAGCACAGAATGGGACGAGGTTCAGCATTGTCCCAAAGGATGTTGAATTGACCATGGCACTGCTGGTTATAAATAATTTCTGAAGAACTTTCAGGAAAGTCATGTTTTCACCTATTTATAGAAGGTCTTATGGGTGGGAGCTATATATTCCTATCAAGTTGTACAGCACACTTTAAATGTGGTTTCATTTTTGCTCTGCTTTCAACTGTTGAAGTGGAGAATTTTTTGCTAGAAATGTCTTTTTAATAATAAACTGGCAAAAAACATTCTAAATGTATATTAATTAAAATTCTGTCTTTAGGGATAGATGTAATCAAGGGATATGTAATCAGTTAATAAAATGCACTGAAAAAGATTATTTTGACCTTTCCTTGCAAAATAAAATATATTAAATTTAAAAACAGCATTGTGAAAATAGTTTCAAATAATGTCAATTATTCCAACAGGATTTTCCATAGGTGTATAGTTATAGAACTGCTTCTTTATACATTTACATATATAGATAGATAAATTGATATGTAAATATAAATAAAATAATATATAATTCAATTTTTCCAGAACCTTTTGATAGAACAAATACTGCTAGAGCAGTACATGAAAAACAGAAGTTTGATGTTATCATAGATGAATTTCAAAAGGTAAAAGTACATACAATCTAATAAAAGGTTTTATTTAAGTTATTTATGTGTTAACAATTGTTCCAAGAAAAAAATTGTCTGTAATAGGCACAATGTATATATCTATTTTCTTCATTTTTTAAGACTTTGCTTTTCTGAAATGCAACTTGCATTTCCCAGTTACTCCAATATACCTGACAAATGCCTTTCAGTGTTGAAGTTTTCTTTCAATATGGTAGTTTTATAACAAATAGTTATCTTCAGAGGTCAAAAAAAATTATGCCAATCAATTCAAAAGCAGCCCAAAATTCTCTGGATTGTGGCGTCGTTATTTTAGTTGTAAGCCTGTCTCAGTAAATTCCTCTGTAATATACTTTGTTTTTCCTTGGATTGACTCTTAAGAATTGGTTAAGTGGTTAAGCAGTTACTTTGGCATCTTGTTCGGCTATAGATTGATTTTTATTTATAAAGCGAAGAAATGTGTGAAGGGCTGACAACAAAGGATTCATTCTGTCAATAATCAGTCAGTCAGTCAAGATTTTCCCTTTTGTTCATATTCCTCTTTTCCCCTAATGGGCTGAGTAAAAAATGACTGACCCAAGTCACCCAAGACATCTTATAGTTGGACTTGAAGCGGAGTCTTCCTGTTGCCAGGATTAGGGTTAGGCAATAAGTGGTATCACCCCTGAATTTCTAAGTTGAAGTAATTTTTTCTGTGCAATTCTGAATCCATAGAACTGAAAAGTTCTTTGTTTTTGAATTACATTACAGTTACAATTTAATTACAAAACTACATTTTGTATCTCTTTTGATTGACTATAATCCATTTTGGGAAGATAATTGTAGGGCAGAGCAGAAAGCTCTAATATATTTTTAAAATTCCCTTTCCCGCCTTTTAAAAGTAGTCTAATACATCATGAAATTTTGCTTCTCAGAAACTATGACTTTTTATTAAAGGAAACATTTAATGCATTTTTATATGTCTTTATTATTATTCTGAGTACTAATATTCTTTTGATGTTGTACTATGATTTTAAAAGTGTGGCTATACTGTACTAACATAATTGTATGATCTGTTCTATCCCGTAGTCATGGCAAAGACTGAGAGACAGGAAGGATTTGAACTGTATACTACCTGTAAGAGGAATTATACAAAAAAGATGATTGGTCTCACTAACTGGACTTTTCTGAAATACAGCATATAAATACATGAAATGCCCGGGATGTGATTTTTCTCCCTTCCCTGCTGCACTTTTTTTAAGAAGATATTTTTCTTTCAGGTTTTTGGTAGGAAAATTTTTTGTAAGAATTCAAAGAAGATTGCAACCTTTATGACATTAAATCAATTTGAACACTGGCTTCTGGAATTATTAAATCAGTGACCAATAAAGAAACTACTGCTGTAATACGAATTTTGCAAAATCTGTTGCAGTTTGATTTCATGTTACTATGTATTGTAGTAGTTTATGCATCCACACTAAATACTGAAACAGAAAGATGAATGTATGACAGCCAGCAGTGATAATAAAAAATATAATGGTGTACTTTTCCATAAGAGTAAGAAGTACAAGCCAGTAGGCTCTGCTTTACAACTGCTAATTATAATATGCACTTTAGCTCATTCCCATTTTAATACCATAGTAATAACACCAGCTTTTAAGCAATATTAACAACTTGGTCCTGATTATTCTTATCGTTCCAGGCTGATTCTCACTGAAATCATGACTTGTATCTGGCCTATGCTAATTGCATACAAGAATCTATTTTATTAGATGCTGCTCTATACAAGAACAAAAATCTTCACAAAGCAAAGTAAATATTGAGAAAATATATTTTTTTATTTTGATTTGATTTGATATTTCCCAAATATGCAGAATTTTATCACTGGAAACATTCAGTAACAGGAGGCCCTAGCTGTTGTCTGAATTAGTAGATCCCAAATATGCAATTACTGTCGTTTTGAAGAATGTCTATCTATGGAACCTTAGTTGAAATTTTATAACTAGGAGTTTAGTAATATTTAGGCTGTAGTGTCAGATTACTATATTCTAGTGGTCGTGTACAGTAGTGCCTTCCTGAGGGAGTAAAAAGAAAAAAAGGCCTAGGTACTGCAGATCTGAAATTTTTGTCCTTTTTCTTTTTACAAAAGGAAGTAGCAGGAGTTTGTTGCTCTTTTCAGACCAGAGGTAGCTTTAAACTATTATGAAGCAGATGGAAAGCAAGCACAATCAAGAGTGATGGTCCCCTTAATTGCACTTCTAATATAATATGAAAAAATGAAAACCTGCAAAGGTTGTACTGCTGCCTGTACATCTATATAAAATCCTCGCATCACAATAAATGTAAGAAGTGTCCTCTGCATTTCTCATATGCTTTGCTCCAAGATGTGGATCTGCTCTCAGTGAGGCTCTCAACATTTTCTTTCTGTATCAATAATGTACTGATGATTGCTAATCGTTAACTGCTACAATAAAGTTTTTTTAAAAAATTTTGTTTCTATGTAAATATTAGAACAGCTATATAACTTGGGATTTAAAACAAATCTTAAATTTTAACTTTTTTTTCTAAAAAAAGTTTGGGACTTCTTTTAGATCTGCTGTAGCACAATTTGTGCCTCTTATATTTATTGCAGACCAAGTAATATGTTAAGGAATAATTACTTTTCATTGGTGTCAACCTTGCTTTTTTTTTTTTTTTGAAGTTTAAACATTTTATTGTGTTAAGTGGAATAAAGTTTCTCTGTTGAAAATAAAGCAGTTTTGTTATATGGACTTGTTTTCTTTCAGTCAGCAGTTTAATTTCTTTTTCCCCTTCTTTTCCTAGCTTAAGCTATTAAACCAATCATGTTTAGCCTTGCACAATTTTGTCATTTGTGACCTTATTCTATTAAAACATTGCACATTAGATTTGTGCAATCCTTGGAGTTTAGTGTGCACAAACATACTACCTCTATGGAACTCTTAAAGCAGCTGTGACTTTTTCCCAGGTTTGGGTGATGGTTTTAAGGAGTTGCAGAAAGACGTTAAATTTACATCCTTCTGCATCCAAAGGGCTGCACAGTGCAACATCTTGGCAGTGAAGTTCCACTTTGTATTGTGAATGCAGGAAAAACAGCCTGCAGCTTTAGCTAATTTCACAAACCCTTAGAGCAATTCCACTACTTTGGGCAAATCGTTTTAGAGCTCTGCCAAGAGTGATTTTCCTGGTAGCCTACTGGTTGGAAGAAAGGTAAAAAATAACTGTTACCACAAAAAGCTATGTTTCTCTCCTTCCCTATTATGATCCCACTTTTGAATTTGGCTCTCTATTTCCTGCCTCATCATAGGTTCTGGATTCATTAGTCACACAGGTGTACTAGCTTTTCTCTGAGGGCATCTAGCTGCTTGAAAGTAAATTTATTTATTTATTTATTATTTAAATTTGTATACCGCCCTTCTCCCGAAGGACTCAGGGCGGTGAACAGCCAAAATTAAAATACATACAAAATTTAAAATTTAAAATAATTTAAAAGCAGAATTAAATCAAATTGGCTTCCCAAAAATTAAAACCCATTACCCTTAAAATAACCCATTAAAATTTTAAGCCAGCCCAGCTTGCTGAAATAGGAAGGTCTTCAAAGCTCGATGGAAGGTCCGGAGGTCTGGGATTAGTCGTATTCCTGGAGGTAGCTCGTTCCAGAGGGCGGGTGCCTGCACAGAGAAGGCTCTTCCCCTGGGGGTCGTCAGTTGACATTGCTTGACCGACAGCACCCTAAGGAGGCCCTCTGTGGGACCCAGTTGGCCGGTGGGAGGTTATCGGTGGCAGAAGGTGGTCTCGTAAATAACTGGGCCCTAAGCCATGGAGGGAATAAAAGGGAATTGTGTGTGAAAGAGGCAGGCAGAGGCAGTACTGTTGCCAAATGGTCCAGGCAAATTGCATGGCTGATGTTTGCATATCCAACTAACATTTCAATTTAGGTCAATTTCGATCTCAATATTCATTTTCAGGTTTCTAGATTAGCAATCACCAATAAGCCAAAATGCACAGAAACAGACTTCCCTAATAGTCCAGTACATCTGGGGATATTTGTATTGGGGGGTGGGGGGGGAGACCTGCCAGAGTGTTATCTTGTAAGAGTTAACATTTTCTGCAAGTAAGGAACTTTTTATTTTCAAAGTTATGGCTTTACAGACCAGTAAGAAAGGTTGCTGAATATATACAACATTGTGCTACCTATTCAGTCACAGTTTTACAGGAAAAATCATTCCCAAGATTAAGGAGCAAAGTACCTATCAATGTAGTCATAGGCTTGAACTTGGCCGAGAAACAGAACTTTTTCTAGTTAATGGCTTGGAAAGACAATTTGAATTACAACACACAGTTTATTTTAGAGGATATATGCAAAGGGAAGAATTGATTGTGTATTTAAGTTGATCACATGACCTGGGCTCCAGCAACCTACTTCAAAACCAAAGAGCCCCAAAAACATTCTTAAAAACAAGTAGTTCTTTGGACTACTGACTTTAAGGAAACAGTTGCAGCCTAAGTGTCCACCCTGATCGGTAATCTGTTTTGGAACAGACTACACCAATACGTCATTTGATACACTACTCAGTATCCTTTGTGAAAAAAGAAAAAATGTGCAGGGTTTCTATCAAATGAGTAGTCTATCAAATGACATATTCACCAACCCCCACACCATCTGGACAAATGATTAAAACATAAATATAGTGAATCCAGTTATTTCCCCATTTTAGTAATTCCTCCCCCTTCTGTCACATAAAACATATTCTATTGGTAGCTTTTTTGAAGGACTCAAGAAACTCCACAAGGTTGTGGCGACTTTGGATTTTTGTGTCCCACTCTTTCTTTGTATAAGGTCATGCTCATTCCTGGTGGAAAGTTGGAAATTGTTGCCCTTTCATGTGTTGTGTTCAATTCCTCAAGGAAGCGGTAAATTCAGACGGTAAGAAATATGATGGCCCTTAATGTTGTTTAACCTGATTGGTTACCTGATTAACAAAGCTGGACTTGGAAGAGCGGTCTTTGTTGCAGTTCAATATTCACTTTACTGTTCTATTTCTGCATCTTTTCGTTTTCCAGAAAGAATGAGAGATGGGAACTTAGAGTGCATTCAGCAGTAGCTTTAGTTATCAAAATGATGGGGTGTTTTAGCTGAGTATAAGCTAGAAGGAACAACTAACTTGAAACTCTCAGATTCCATATTGATTCAAGTTCCAAGAACCAGAGAGAAATCTAGGAAGAAAGAACAAATAATTTTCAGTTGAGTACCCAAATGTACCTGGCCTGAGTAAAAAATACCATTACTCTCCTAATTGAAGAGGGTAATCAATATCAAGACTGTTTCCGCAAGAATTCAGAACCTCACCATCATTAACAACAGCTTCAGTTGGCTCTTGCATATTGCTTAGCTACAAACAAATAGGACATGGGAAAATCTGAAAAAGAGCAAGCAAGCACGTATGAAGATCTTTTGAGATCAGCTGAACCAGTTGTCCCTTGATTTTGACGTATATGAGAAATTCTGTTTGTTACCAAAGGCTAATGATGGCCTGTGACTAAACCAGGATCAAGGTCAGTGACTTCCAGAGCTGCCTTCAGTTTAGACTGTTTTGACCCTCGAAACAAGGTGGTGTTAGGACCCAGCATTCAGTCCAAGGTGGCAGTAGCAGTTTGTTTCAACTTTCTGTTCTATTTAAAGACTTCTCCTGAGTCAGGAGAGCCACTAAACTGTGGTGGGTGACAGTTTGCTTCTGGCAACTCTGGAGAATATCGAGTAGAAGGCAGAAAACCTAGCAGAGGAACTACCTGGGGAGAAATGGAGGCGGACTGCATCTCAGAATGTGATGAATCACTTGATATTTCTGTGGAAGATGAAGAGGAGGAAGAGGATGGGTCACAGAGTGAAGAATTTAACAACAGGTATTGTTCTTCAAAGAAAATAAAAACCATCAGTGCCAGATTGAGAAGTTTTGGGAAACTGGACAAGGAGCAAGAGCTTTATGCAAATACAGTGAGCCTTAGTAGAAATAAAGTGTGAAGAATGAGAGAGATTTTCATGGTAAATGTAAATGTAGCCGGTTGTGTTTGTCTGCACCAAAGGCATTTTTCTATTTAAAGATCTGACGTTTAGCCCCTTAGATTTGGCATCTCCTCCTCCTCCTCTTCAGCTAGCTGGGCTGTCAATGCATCTCAATCACATTTACTATGAGATATACATGTGTACAGGAGAAAAATGTAAAAGTGTAAAATGACAGAGAGTAAAAGAAAGACTTGAATTTGTTCAGTGAAAATTATGAGGTTCTGAGTGATGAAAAATAGGAAAGAAGTTTGAAGTCAAAGGATCAGTAACTTTTAGGGAATTCCATTTCCATTTGTGTTTGGAGTCTGTAACCAATTACTTTCCGGCAAGTTGTGCATGGCTTGCTTAGTCTGGTAGTATCTGAGCACTAACACAGTTTTATGGAGGAGTTTGAAACATACAACAATTTCAACATTTAAAGAAAGATAATGTTTAGAAAAGAACATTGAATAAATGGGCTTGAACCGTAGATCCAGATTCTAACCAATATCTAAAAGAGAGGTGGGCACCATGTTGATATGCATGTTCTGTATTTATACACTCTGTAACACACATAATATGAAAAATAGCATGGCCAAAATTGTGATGGGGGGTGGGATGGGTAAAAGGGAATTATAGAGTTGTAAGACTTTGAAAGTCATATGTTCAAAGTCCTGCTCAAATTGGGAATTACAAAGGAATATACAATTATAGTCTTCCTGGCAAATGGCCAACCTCAGTTTAAATTTTTCTATTGTGAATGTTCCTTCTCTGCCGATTACCATCAGGTAAACGAAATTAGCTGCTGTTGGATCGGATGATGGAAGAGACGGACACAGCTCTTTCAGTAACAGCAGCTCTTTATTAGTAGACCGGTACAACCCAACAACCTGCTTGTCTGTCAGTGTCCCCTTTTATAGAGGACTGTCAGACGGCTTAACCAATGAGCTTTAAGTATTTTCCCGCCATTTTGGAGGACCTGAGTGAAGCCTATAGCTCACTCCTTATTTGGTACATAACAGCTGCTCTCTACAAGAATTCTTTATTATTCCTATTTTATTAAAACACTTCATTCAGGCATAGGTTGCCAAGCATACCCACAAATCTTTTTTGAATTCTTTTAGACTATGAATAACCTGGGGCATTTATCTCAAATATGTGCAGGAACCAGAAAGAAAACAGGTGACCCAGCTTCCTAGGACATTTCCTAAGCTCTGAGGCTAACCTTGTGAAACTGTAGTGTCAGATTTGCATCAGTCTCAAAAGAGTGCTTGAAGATGGTTTACTATACACAGAGAGAAAAAAGAGTATTGAAAACTAATCTGGAGTAGTATACAGACCTTGTAGAACTTTCAAAACTTTGAAAGATTATATTTACCAAATAAAAAGATATTTCTGGCAGCTTTATAGCTTTAATCTCAAGGTATGATAAATGTCCTAAGTAATCTGAAATATTATTTCTATCCATGGGATTTAGTTGGAAGAAACAGTTGCATCTGTAAAGGTAGCTTAAATATAGTTAGATGAACAATTGTCTGTTCTCCTGGTTTGAGAATGAATGGCTTCAAGTAAGATTAGACAATGAATAATTGTATTTAATGATTTTATTAATTTTATGAGAAATGCTGAAATTAAAACAACTCCTTTTAAAAAAATAATTATCAAATGTGTAGCATCTTGAATAAGTGAAAGAAAACTACAGATTTTTTTGCTGAGCATGTGAACAATGTAAAAGAAATGTAGGCTCCTCAATTATCATGGCTTAGCATATTATTCCTATAGAAATAATTTATTTTAACAATAAAATTCTCTGCATTCTATTAAAGAAATAAATCCCAGTGAGTTCAATGACATTTATTTTCAGGCATGAATACATAGATTGAAATCCTAAGTGCACCACCTTTTATCTAGCTATTCAGAATGTTAGCAGTTCACTACAATTTCTATCTGTCTAGACATTATAATAGAGTAAAATGGGGGCTAATAATATTCCCAAACTGTTGTGGCCAAATAACAAGTGATAAATATGAGTAAATATGGTTTGGAGTGGCTGGAATTAGGGAGAATGAGGGAGCCGGGGCAGGGAATGGAGTCCCCTCTGCTGAGTGTGCAAGCAGAAGCAGATGGGGGCTCAGATGGGAACCCCAGTTCGGTATGAGTGGGATGCCTTGCTTGCCGGGGAGGTGGGGGGCCGCTGAGGTGGGGAAGGGGATCTCTAGGGGGATGGAGAGCCGGAATATCACGGTTATGACTGGGAGAGGTAGATATGGCGGGAGCCAAGGGGTAGGCCACTCTCGGGGAACTTCAAAGTAATTACTTGTTCTGGCCCCTTTGGTTCTGGTTCACAGGGCTCACCTTGTATACCTGGTGACTTGGGATGTCAGGACCCTGGTCTCAGGCTGCTGCTGTTTAATGCCAGGTCTGTTGTTAACAAAGCTCCCCTTGTTCGGGACTTAATCCTGGAGGAGGGGGCTGACCTGGCATGTATAACAGACCTGGCTGGGCCAGGAGGGGGGAGTTCCCCTCTCTGAGATGTGCCCAGATGGGTTTCAGATACTGCATCAGTCGCGACTCCAGGGAAGGGGTGGAGGAGTGGCAGCTATTGTCCGGAAGAGCGTTTGTCCTCGCAGGATCCCTGCTCCGGAGATTGTTGGGTGTGAGTCTCTCCTCTTGAGGCTGGACTCAAGGGTTCAGTTGGGCTTGCTGTTGACGTACCTGCCTCCCAGCTGCATGACAACAGCCCTGCCTGTGCTGCTAGAGGCAATAGCCGGGTTGGCGGTGGAGTTCCCCAGGCTTATGGTACGGGGGGACTTCAATCTACCATCACTTGGTGATTCCTCAGATGGGGCTCAGGAGTTCATGGCTTCCATGACAACCATGGACCTGACCCAAGTCGTTCAGGGTCCAACCCATGAGGGAGTCCATGATGGGGAGGAACAGGCTCAGACTCAACCCATCCAAGACCGAGTGGCTGTGGTTTCCGACGTCCTGATATAGTCAGTTGACTCCATCACTGACTATTGGGGGTGAATCATTGGCCCCCACGGAGAGGGCTCGCAACTTGGGTGTCCTCCTGGATTCACGGCTGTCTTTAGAAGAGCACTTGACGGCCATGACCGGGAGGATTTTTCATCAGGTTCGCCTGATTCGCCAGTTGCATCCCTTTCTGGATCGGGACTCGTTACGCACGGTCACTCATGCCCTTGTCACCTCCCGCCTGGACTACTGCAACGCTCTCTACATGGGGCTCCCCTTGAGGAGCATCCGGAGGCTCCAACTGGCGCAGAGTGCGGCCGCGCGGGTGGTAATGGGAGCGACATGGCGTTCCCATGTAACACCCCTCCTGCGCGAGCTGCACTGGCTCCTGGTGGTCTTCCGGGTGCGCTTCATGGCTTAGGACCTGGGTACTTGCGGGACCGCCTACTACCACCAATAGCCTCCCACCGGCCGGTATGCTCCCATAGAGAGGGGCTCCTCCGGGTGCCGTCAGCCAAACAATGCCGACTGGTGGCCCCCAGGGGGAGAGCCTTCTCTGTGGGGGCACCTACTATCTGGAACGAGCTCCCCCCAGAGATACGGAGGACCCCGGATCTGCGCACCTTCCGCCGCGCCTTAAAGACCTTACTATTTCACCAGGCCGGCCTGGCCTAATTTTCCCCCTCTTTTATAAGAGATTTTTAAAATTTTAAATATCTTTTAGTATTTTATATATTCAATTTTAAATTGGTTTTAAAAGTTTGGGGTTTTAAATTTGTCGGGGCCAAAATTATTTAATTTGATTTTATTCTATTTTAAATTTTGTATGTATGTGTTTTTTAGTGTTTGGCTGTGCACCGCCCTGAGTCCTTCGGGAGTAGGGCGGTATAGAAATCTAATAAAATAAATAAATAAATAAATAAATAAATAAATAAATAAATAAATAAATAAGGGGGAACACACACTCGACCTGGTATTTCTCTTGGAGCAGTGGAGATATGATCTGGAATTAAGGGGTATAGAGGTCTTTCCCTTGTCATGGTCAGATCATTTCCTGTTGAGGTTGGACTTTAAGATGCCACTCCTCCATCACAGGGAGGCAGAGCCAATTAAATGGTTCCACCCCAGACGCCTAATGGACCCTGAAGGGTTTCAGAAGGAGCTTGGGGAGATACCTGACTCCCTCGTCCACAGTCTGGCCGAAACCCTAGTGGCTGCCTGGCATAAGGTGGCATCTGGGGCATTGGACCGGATTGTGCCTTTGCGGCCTCTCAATGGTAGCAGATCCAGGAAAGCTCCCTGGTTTACTGAGGAGCTCCGGGAGATGAAGCACCAGAAGAGACGTCTAGAGCTACGCTGGAGGACCAGTAAATCCGAATCCGACTGAACACTTTTGAGAGCCTTTGTTAGGACTGACTTAGTGGCGATACAGGCGGCAAAATGTTCACATTTTTTTGCACTTATTGCATCCGCGGATTTCTCACCCAGCCACCCTATTTAGGGTAACTCGCTCCCTCCTTAAGGTTGGGGGAACGGAGAAGCCCTTGCAGGGTAGAGCTGAGAAATTTGTGCCGTTTCTGTTGGATAAAATCGCTCAGATTCAGATGGACCTGGACTCCGATTGGGCAATACCGACCAAGATGATGGGGCGGGTCTTAGTCCTATTGTGTGGGAGGAGTTTGAGCCAGTGACTCCTGAGAAAGTGGACAAGGCTGTAGGGGCAATGAGCTCCTCCACTTGTTTGTTGGACCCATGCCCCTCCTGGCTGGTTTTGGCCAGCAAGGAGATGACACGAGGCTGGCTCCAGGCTTTAGTTAATGCGTCCGTGAGGGAGGGGTCCTTCCCACAGCCATTAAAGGAAGAGGTTGTAATGCCCCTCCTTCAA